ATGTTGTATTCAAATACTGTTGGGCGGAGATACATGCATACTATTCGATAGTCACAATTATATATAATAACTGTTTTTAAAGAGGAGAGATGCTGACCCCTCTATAGGTCATTTAGCGAATGTTCCTCACTTTTGATAAGGTATACTATAGCAGATAATGAATGCAACAGATGATAGAGTCAAGGGAAAGTGCGAAAGATTATGGCTTATAACACCGCAGGGGATGACAAACTAGTAAGAGAACATGCAATGGGTATGTTTCTAGGGCAACAAGACATAATACAATGGTAAGAAATATTAATAAAAAGATGCTAAATTGTTAACATTTTATTAAGTTACAAGGGAAAGTACACTTTTTATGAAATTTTAACATAATAATATCAGATTTAATCTGCAGGTACATCGTCGGCTTCTTCGGAAGGCCCTTCCGGTTCTACCTTCATTGCCGCATTCTCCTTTTCTAAGTCTGAAATTTTAGTTAAAGCTTCTTGTAAGTTTGCTCGTATATCGGTCAATGTTTCTCCACATATCTGATTTGACAATTTGTTACATATATATCTACTATAGTTAAGGGTATAACTCAATACTTAAGGAAATCTCATTATAAAGATATAAAGGATACTCTACTGCATTATCGGGTTTATCTGGTTCTTCGTACAACGAAACTAATACTTTTGTTAAAGCGTCCATGACGCCAGTCTTTTCTAAATACTTTCTGAACTCCTCCCTCTTGCTTTCGGACGGCTGTGTTTAGATGAAATGTACAAGCTGTGTAAAATAACTTTGGTTTCTTACCTTATAGTTAGGGTTGGCTGTCATATTCAACGTTTAGGTTATATTTAATTTGATACTATAAATGCGAAGTTACAGAATTTTTGTATCGTTTAGCTTAGTACATTTATTATATGGCAGTCGAAAATGGAACAATTTTTGCTGCACGACGACTTGAATTTTTGATTCCAAAAAAATTTCAAAAGGTGTTGCCAACATAAAAATTTAAATTAAATGAAAAGATAAGAGGCGCTTTCTTTCAATGATCAAAACCCACAGAGTTGTATATGTATACTTATACAACTCTGTGGATCCTACGAATCACGATCTTTAAAATATGATCGCGAAGTAAGGTGTACTTTTTTAAAAGTATACCCGACAGCACCGTCGTATATACAAGGCTCAGGGCTGGAAACTCGAGCCTATTTCCTTTAATTGAGGATCTTACGTGTCGTCGATCGCGTAGTTCCATAAAGTCCCTATCATAGGGATAGGCGCTTTCTTTCGGCTACTTCGCTATCATGATTTCAAGATCGTGATTCCTAGGATCACGTTGTAGTGTACTTAACCCCCAGGGTCTACGCTAATTTCACACTACAAGAACACGGAAATAAAATAAACCCGGCAACGTTTAAAAATGGCCACCCGAATTACTATTCCCTCTAAAACTAAACAAGATCCCGCTTAAATTTGAAAAGTGGCACGTGATAAAACATCTAAGGCAGGGCCCCCTTACGTTAGTTATAGATAACGCTTTGACCTGAAGCACAGTAGGGAAGGAACGTTAAATAAAACACTGAAATTGTAAAAAAAGTTTGTTTAATAATGATCGTAATTATCATGATTGTGAAAACCAGGAAATTTAGTTCATGTAAATTAATATAAACAAAACAAACAAAGCCAAAAGGTGTCGTACTCTCGCAAAAGTCACTGCCAAGGGTAAAAAGAGTACGACGTAAGAAAAACCTTTGCAGTTTGATTAAAACAGTCCAAAAGTTAATTAACAAAATATTTTGTAAAAGTTTAAGCAGTAGTTAACAAAGATAGTAAATGCATATACACAATGTTGGTTACACTCAAGGTTAAAGCAAGTTTTTGGGGACAATGGGTCAGGTAGCAGCAGGTACCAAGATTCCGAGAAAGGGTGAAATACACAGGATGTGACTCATCTTTGGTGCAATAAAGTCCTTTTGTTGAAAGCAAGATGGAAAATTACATGGCCTTGTAGGCAGATTTGACTAAAAACAAAATATGTGGGGATTATTGAATCGCCACTCATTTTAACACACATAGATTCTAAACTGAAGAGCTTTGATTAGCGTAATCTCGCTCCTGCACGATGGGTAGTCCGCCCCTGGTTTCGGGGTTTCGAACCTACAGTTGGATGTCGAAGACAGTGCACGGAATTAGGTGCCCTAACACAAAATTATAGACTACAGTTTCTTTTTCCACCTCCCGTGACTGCTTCATTCACGGAGAAAATTGTTAGTAACAAACAACAAGTCAGTACATACATCAAACGAATCAGCAATTTCCACATATTAAAATAAAATGAAAACTTACATGAATGTAACTTCAGGGACAAGACCAAGTAATCAACATCAATAAACATAAATTAAGCAAACATTACACCAAAAACGTAAACATATAGCATAACGGTATCACACTTATGATTGCATTGCGGTTAAACCAAGTAAATTTCAAAAACAAATATTGAAACACACAAAAAATATAAAATGCGGCAAACAAAACACAAATACGATATAAAGAAATGCAAAAATTACTACCTGCATTAAATAACACAAAATACATAACAACAAACATTTATGGAGCGAAACCAAAGATCATACTACACTATGATCTTTGGCGAAACGTTCACGACCGCCATTGAAGACAAGATGCCAAACATAAGGTGGGTTCATAGCTCTCCGTTCATACGTTTCCGTTTATCCGTTATCCAATCAGAACACAGTAAATTTTCAAACCGTACAGGTGGGTTCATAGCTCTCCGTTCATCCGTTGCGTTGATCCGTCAAACGGATAGTACGTTTTGTTAAGGTTCATAGCAATCCGTCCACATTGTACATTTGCAAGTATAACCATAACCTAAACTTTATTTTGTAGTGTACCCTCCGTGATTTTCAGTATGTGAAAATGGTACGAAAGTAAGAACATACATTGCTATCTGATTATTACCGTGAAGAACGAATAGGCGAACGCTGTTAACATACCAAACATAACCTCACTCTTGTTAAAAACGGACCAACGGAAACGTAAATGTTCAACTTCAACCAACTTTTCCGTCGTAAACGGACGACGTACGATTTAAAAATTTGCTGTCTTCTGATTGGCTAACGGACAAACGGAAACGTATGAACGGAGAGCTATGAACTTACCTTACGTCGTCCATTTACTACGGAAAAGTTGGTTGAAGTTGAAGATTTACGTTTCCGTTGGTCCGTTTTTTAACAAGAGTAAGGTTATGTTTGTTATGTTGTTGACGTTTAAGAGCAAATTTAACAGTGTTCGCCTATTACGTTCTTCGAGGTGATAATCTGATAGTAGTTTCTACGTACTGAAGATCACGGTGGGTACAGTACAAAATAAAATTTAGGTTATGGTTATACCTTGGAAACGTACGATATGGACGGATTGCTATGAACCTTAACAAATTGCACTATCCGTTTGACGGATCAACGCAACGGATGAACGGAGAGCTATGAACCCAACCCACCTTATTACCATAGAACAACAAACTTAGAATGGAAACTGTAATGTAATGTAAAAATGACGCGCCATCTCGTGTATGTTCTCAGCAGCTTTTTGCGTGAATGGCGCCAAATTTAAATATTAAAATGTAAGCTACGTCCGCATGATACTGAATTTCTCCGGATCTGTAACAATAACATTGGATTTGACTAACTGAAACCTAAAAGGTAAATGAATCCAGCCAGTGAAGTCCAATTTTGTTTGTTAGGGGTCCAAATAAATTCAGTTTAATGCGGATGCACCTCACCAGTCAGGGCCTTCAAAGAGTACAGAGCACTTGTTTTATAAGTAACAACTCCAATTAATCCAATCAAGGAGTTATATTTAATTTAATATGATTATACAAGATACAAGATCAACTTCATGAAACTCTACTGTATGATGCTCTCGAGATCGTTCTAAAAACAAAATATGTAGCAATTTATTACAATTCAATTAGTGCTATCTGCTAAATATAATGTGCGAACTGCCATACGCTTTAAATCTCTTCGTGTTCCAGGTTCTAAAGCGCAGCCAGAAAAATGACGTTCACAAACCAAAAACTTTTGTGTAAATTTTTTTCCACATTATATTCTAAACCAATTCTTAAAAACTTCGGGCTCCATTTTTGGGAAACGTCTTCACAATTTGTCACACAACATTTACGTTCTCGACTTGTATATGCATAATTCATTGTAATAATGAATAGTAATTATACTTAAAGCACAATAAGCCGTCAATCAAAATTCAAAATTCAACTGTCATAATGGCGCACAAGCACTAAAGTCACTAGATTTAGTAACTTTAACACGCCCGCTAACTATGCGCCATCTATTGAATGTTCTCCAAACTAACTATATCTGCACTCAGTTGTTCCCGTTTACGTTTCCCTTCTAAGTTTTTTGTTCTGGGCTTATTACTCCCGTTCGTGCTTTCTAGGTGGCGCAGGCAACTTTTTTTCCCACCTAGAAATTGCATGGTTGCCAACTCTCAAAAATGTATGTATCGTCGTAAGTTGTATATACAGGGTGGAACCTCTCAACGTTTTACAAAAGAACGCGCGAATTTAAATCAAACTATGGTTACGTTGAGTCGTTGACGTAGTACACATTTGCCTTCGAATTACGTATTATTTGTTTGGATTATGAAAATAATTTAAATACAGGTGGAAGTACTATTGCACCTTGCATGATTATGCTCCTCTTCAGTTACAAATATTGACCAACCTAACATTTGAGGAAAAATATCCGCCATATTCAATATTGAGAAGCCTAATAGAATGCTAGCTAAAATCATTAAAAATACATAAGCTCCTTCCTACTCTTTTATTTGGTAAAAACTATAGCTATATATGTAGGAGGTGTAGTAAAAACAGCTTCTTTCAATTTTCTTATTCATTGCAATTTTCAGTTTAGTAATAAAAATTTCTAAACGAGGCTGCATGTTGCCAACGCAAAAAAATCATTACCGTTCTGTCCGTTGGTTAAAACAAAAAACCCTATCAGAAATTTAATAGGTCTGTGTCGTATGTCTTTCTTGAATTTTTCGTAGTTTAAAGGAATTTCTGATCGTATTTGTTTACAATATTCTAATTTAACGCAAAGTACAAATCAAAAATGTCGTGTGCAAAGATGTCGGCGTTCGTAAGTGCTTCTTAAATTCGTAACCTTGCATTACATAACATTCAAATTGGTTTCAGATTCGATCCTTTAGCACAAGCAATGCGGTTCAGCAAATGGTAAAACCGCCGATACAGGTTTTCGGTATCGACGGTCGTTACGCAACAGCGTTGTACTCAGCCGCATCAAAACAAAATGCGTTAGATGCTGTAGAGAAGGATCTCGTAAAATTTCAAGGTACTGTCAAGACAGACGCAAAGTTGCGCGAATTTATCGTAAATCCGATAATTAAACGTCAACACAAGGCAGAGGCTTTAAAAACGATAGCAACTAAAGTTTCGTTATCCCCACAAACCTCCAACTTGCTGCAGATTTTGGCAGAAAATGGGAGATTGCAAAACTTGGATGGTGTCATATCAGCCTTCAAAACGATTATGTCTGCACATAGAGGAGAAGTAAGTATCTGTATCGAGTGCCCGTAGAAAGATATCAGCGGGATTTCAATCCAACTTGCACTGTCTAACCAATATTTCTTTGTGCACTCCTGGACTTACTGTGTAGTCCAGGGACTAGAGGGTTTTAACTTGCAAAATGAGAAGTAGTTCCAATTTCTTTTGCATGTCATAGACAGTCATCTGGTGGTTAAGAATCTTAAGTTTTCGACCTCCCACCCCTTGTGCTTCGCGCGTACCACCCCCAAAACCCCTTAATTTGGTTGGTTTTTTAGTTTTTCAATCATATCTTTTTAATCGTTCACTTTAGAAAAAATTATTGTTATCAGAAATTGTAGACCATAAAGTTCTACACAACTTTGATATACACTACTTTTTTGTGAAATGTTTATTAACGATACGGAGCTTGAGAGTTGGTTGTATTTTCAAGAATTCTGAAATTTCTATGTAGATGTTTTAACCAAATTTCATACTTGATCTCTATAATTAAGAGTTTTATGAGAAAATATCTTGAATTTGTCGTGGTATAAATCCCTCTACTCTGCACCCTTACTAAAGGGGATGCATAATAATGAAACTTGCAACCCTTGCTAGTGGGGATATTTGAATCACTGAGAGATTGTAGTGCTTTCTAATATATTTTTGAAATTGTCAGAGAGTACAACGCTTATTTACATATATTTTCTATTCCTCTAAATACTTATCTATTTCTACAGCGGGTGGGGAGTGGGGGTTTTTAATAAACATTTCACAAAAAAGTAGTGTATATCACAGTATTTTATAGTCTACAATTTCTGATAACAATTTTTTTCTGTAAAGTGAACCTATAAAAAGATATGATTGAAAAACTAAAAAACCAACCAAATTTCTTTAATTTTAAGGGTGGTACGGGGGAAGCACAAGGGGAAAACTTGGACTCTTAACCACCAGATATTCTTTCATGACATGCAAAAAAAATTGGAACTACTTCTCGTTTTGCAGGAAATGGTCCATTTTCAGTCTCTATTTCCTGGACTAGTGGATTTTTTTGGGTACTTATTCTCCCACCACATCGCAATCAGATTGCTTTGATGTAATAAGGAATAGCGATACTAATTCATTGAAATCTGACTCAAATATTATTCAGTGTGTAAGTGTGTTCCATGTATGAAATATCCATTAGTTGAATATTTTTTATTGTAGGTATTATGTACATACTATTCTTAAAGTTGATCGTTTTAGGTGATTTGTGAGGTGACAACCGCTAAGGATTTAGATCCCAATCAACGCAAGCAATTAGAATCTGTTTTGAAATCGTTCTTGAAAGGAAAAGAAACTTTGCACTTGACTGTGAAGGTCGATCCATCGATTATTGGTGGCATGATAGTGAGTATTGGAGATCGTTATGTCGACATGAGTGTATCCAGTAAAATTAAGAAATACACCGATCTTATTAGTGCCGCTGTATAAATTATGTGAGGAAGTGTAGCAAAATTATACTGAAATAAAAGAAATTACAAATTCCATCATAATATTTAATTAAATAAGATGCAACCTGTACCGATATAAAATTGTTAATACATAAAATTCAAACAGTTGATTGACTCTTGTACAATTTAAATTAAATATTCCTATGGTGTAAGTCTATTTGAATTTACTTATTTGGTTGGTTCGAAGGTTTCACTTCTGGCTCGATGGTTTCGCCTCCGCGGATTTGTCCCCAACCAATCAGGCGCCAATGCTTTTCTACTCTCCGGCTTAGAGCTATTTTCTCACCTATTTCTGTACAGACCGGATTTGTTAGAGAAATTTTAACTAAATCTGCTTTAGTGGCCAATACTCTTCCACCAGTGCTAAGAGAACCAATATTAACTAGCAAAATTTCACTTTTCGATAACTTCTGAACTTTAGCCGCTTTCTTGTCTCCTTCTGTCCTCACACCTAATAAACGTTTCAGTAGATAATAACTGACCTGCAAAAGAATTTACATTTAACAAAACCCAGCAAGTACTGGAAATTAATACCTCAAGTTCTATAAATATACTAGGTAAAGCACCAACTGCTCCCAGTACTTGACCTACTAAACGATCAGCTCGACATAAGGTAGGTTCAATTTTTGTTCCGACACCAATTAATCCTCCAGGAACCGCAAACTGCAACTCATTCTGTTCGGTGTAAAGAGAGACGATGCGTGAATATATGGGTTTACAAGTTAGTTTCCCTTCGGAATCTTTACTCACAAGACCAGGCCGCACCTAAAATATTAATTTATTTATTGTGGTAATGCTATTAACCTGCAACATTACCTCAATTTCCTGCCCTACTTTTAAAACACCGCGAAGAATACTTCCTCCTGCTACTCCTCCCTTTAGATCATTTACCTCGCACCCAGGTTTATTTACATCAAAAGACCTAATGACAATCAATCGGGGTTCTGAAGTGAAATCTCTTACAGGCACAGGGATTTTCTTCATTATGTATTCACACAAAACCTACACAAAGTACAGAAATGAGGGTGCTAAGGGTTTTAAAAAAAAAACTACCTCGATATTATATTTCAATTGCGCAGATATTGGAATAATGGGTGCCCCTTCTGCCACAGTGCCTTGAACAAATTTAGCAATTTGTTCGTGCTGTTCCTTCGCTTGCCCCTCTTTCACTAAATCGATCTTATTTTGTAAAATTAAAATATTTTTTAATTTCATAATTTCAATAGCTGCTAAATGTTCACTCGTTTGCGGTTGGGGACAAGACTCGTTGCCTTAAAGAATAAGTAATTCAGTTCACCGGCCCGATATGTATATTTGGAACATACCGGCAATGAGAAGTAGTGCGGCATCCATAACAGCAGCTCCGTTCAACATGGTGGCCATGAGAATGTCATGCCCAGGGCAGTCCACAAAACTTACATGGCGTACTAAATGGAAACGTCCGGTGCAATTCGGCCGGAAGCAGGGAAATGAATCGTCTTTCGAGGATCCACCTGATATGAAGCATGTTGGTCGAGGACATTTTAAATTGTCACACTTATATATCTTCGCATTTGCGTATCCTAAAATACAAAGTAATGTATTTTTCTACAGCTTCAAAAAACTAATACTAGAGCTAATTAAATTGAATATTTAGTTTTTTTGTTGTATAGGTGGGGAAGTGTACCTTTAGGCACACTCTAAAAAAGGCAGGATTTGAAGTGCTGTGGGGCTCGATCTACGTCAGGCACACCCACTAAAACCCCACCTATGGCTTAGGCTGCTGTGACCATTAGCCTTTTACAGTTAAATATTATTCTATCTAGATGAGATTAACTAATGTTATATTAAGGGATCAAGTGTGCAATACTAGAAATGAATTATTCTATACAGTCATCCCATGTTGCCTTAAATAATATCATGTAACTGGTATTGAAGGTCATATTTAGTACACGTACATAGTATGTGTTCAGGAGATATGTCTACTTGGCAGATTTCACATCAAGGTGGTACTTATACAGCTAGAAAAAAACTGTCGGTAAGCGCATGTATGTCCCATACGGAGTTTATAAACTTCTGCCATTATGTTACATTCCACAATAATTTGGAGTAACGACTTGACCTTATTTGAGGGTTGTGGCATCTGTTTCCAACCACTGTACCTGCAATCGTTCTTATACCCGTTCCTTAACAAGGTTTTGTCAAGCGTTCTTTGTGAAATCTGACAGATCTACGTCATTAAGGCGAATTTCTCCTAGCAATTCTCTTGCTCTTTCACCTAATGATCTATAACTTTGTAACCTTACTCTTCTGTTATTATTTAATAGCACATCGTGGTTCGAGTGAGCATTCCAAAGTGGTGTTCAGAATTGATAAGCAATTGCTTCCAACACATAACAAGAGGAAGGACACCTGCTTCGACATGCAGAGCACTAATAGAAGTTGTTATAAAAGCGCCAAGGGAGTATCTAATACCAGAGTTGTGGACTTTATTTAGTTAACTCAATACTCAACTAGTTGAATATGCATAGCAGCTATAGTCATAGTCCATCCTATAATCAAGGCCTATACATCAAGTAATATCTTATAAATCACACCATTTAAAAAAGGAATCAAGAGGAAAGTGGTGTAACTTCCCACTAAGCTTATTGTTCATCTCAATATCGCTGTGCTATGAATTAAGATAGGTATAAAGCCGGTAATCATGCGCGCTGTTGGAACCACCCTCTAGACTCCCACTGAAAGAGTGAAATGTTTATAAGCGCGTAGACGTTGATAAGTTGAATGTTCCACTGGACCGTGTATCCCATTTTAGTCGAGACTGCAGTGTATCTCAGCTGTTTTTAATGATAGAGACTTGCGGTTTTCGCGACCCTGTTTTTTTTTGTGAAACTTTTATATTAATATCACAAACAGAATCAATCTCGCTACGTTCGTTTTGGAGATACAAGATGAAAACAAAAAATTTATTTTACTTCCCATGAAGGGAAAGGAAGAAGGTAAAAACTGTTTATTTTAGATATTTTTACGTAGAATCCAGTGGCGTAGTAAAAAAAAGTTTTTGTCCACCGTTTCTGAGATTTGACCAAAGTTGGTATTTTTTAAACGCAACACCCTGTATATCTTAACGTACGATTTTTGCATTATTTTTCCTGATTACATTGATGCATCCCAATCTATATTTTTTTTTAAATTTTAGCCATGAACCAAAAATAAAAATCTTATTTTTTACGGTTTTTAAATAGTAGGCCATGGATTTATGGAGAGTTTGTTTCGTTTATTGTATCCATGACAGCCGATTCCAATCAATAAAAATGGCTGACGGTAGACACATGCCATCTTACAATTTTTGTTATATAATATCCAGGCTGATTCAAATTCGAGGGCCACCATGGGGATCTCGGGAACCATAAGAGATAGATAGGTAGTTTAAATTTGGGAAAGTTGCGTATTTTGATGCTTAAGTTATTTAAAAAGATATTTCGAAATAAATAACACATATGGCCACTTTTTTCCCACTACAAGATGAAGTTTTAAATTTTAAATCCGACGTTTCGTGTCCGGTTGACCATCATCAACCTTGTTTTTTCGTATGGAAGTAATTTTTACTTTTTGGGTCATTTGATAGAGAATTCAAAACAGAGTTTAAAAATATAAACTTTGTCTTAGATAGTGCAAGTACGTAGTTTCTTGCGTTTTTATGAATTAATAGCCCTATTTATGATTAAAAGATAGTGATGTTTACATTTTTGAAACCAGAAAAAAATTCTCCATCAAAAGACACAAAAAGCAAAAATTACTTCCATAAGAAAAAACAAAGTTGATGATGGTTGACTGGAGACGAAACGTCAAACTTAAAATTTAAAAGTAGCAACTTGTAGAGGGACAAAAGTGGTCATAATAATGTATCATTTATTTCGAAATATCTTTTTAAATAACTTCAGTAAAAAATAAAAATGATTTTGCCAACTTTCGACTTTTTCCGGATATCTCCGAAAGTAGTCGGAATTTTGTAAGTTTCAAAACTGCATTTTGTTAAGCATCAAAATACGCAACTTTGCCAGATTTAAACTACCTATCTATCTCTTACACTTCCCGAGATCCTCATGGTCGCTCTCGAATTTGAATCACCCTGTATAATTATGTACATAAAAAAAATATAAGTTCTGATACATCAATGTAATCAGGAATACGAATGCAAAATGTGTTGCATTTAAAAAATACCAACATTGGGCCAAATCTCAGATATGGTGGCCCAAACATTTTTTAACTACGCCACTGGATTCTACGTAAAAATATCGTTTTTCTATTTTACATGATAGCATTCCAAAAAGTCAAACCTTTCGTTTTTACCCTGTATCTCAGAAACAATCATAGCTAGACTGACTCTGTTTGTGCCTTTGTGTTATTAACAGTTTCACTATGTATTACACATATCTAAACTGAGTCGTTTAGACGCACCGCAATTCGCCATTTATTCAAAAAAAGTTCAGTAAAAATTTAATTTGCAGTTACAAAACTAAGGCGGTTATTCTGCAGTGTTACTAATCCTGATAATAATGTTAGCAACATACGCCGAAAGGTCAAAGTTCAACTTTTTTATTTTAAAAGAAATATCACTTGATCAACTTTCAAAACTTCAATCCAAGATAACTTGGTTTTCTTTTATTGCATCAAATCTAATAAACACCAATTCAAATTGATCAAGTAATCGAAATATGCAATAATACACAATGGGCTCTATTTACAAAAATGCAAATTTTATATAAATCACCCTGTATATGATAATTGCAGTTTCGTTGAAAATATGACTAGGCGAGTTCTTCAACATGTCCTGACAATGAATTTTAAATACAAATACAATCTTCCACAGACGCACTAGTGGCCCACCCACTATGTATTCTCGTTTCACGCTTGAAAATTATCCAAAATTACTACAGTACAACCTCGATAATCCGAATACATGCTAATCCGAAATCGCGATAGTCCGAAATAATTTAGTTCCTCGTAACAACGATGACACCCCTGAAGACGTTGAAAAGAATAAAGTTTATTTCTTAATGCTTGTGTCCAAATTTATTATTTTCACTAGTTTCGCGATAATCCGAAAGGTCGGTGGTCCGAATCTATTCGGATTAACGAGGTTGTACTGTATGCACATTGACATTCCCCCCAACACTGCCCAAAACATACAATGCAATTATCCCTGTTTCATTTAAAAAAAAAACAGATCAACCTATTTCAATAATCAACAAAAATAAGTGATTTAATTAAATCGATGTGAAGACAAATACATTTTATAAATTGATCTAATTAGCTTTAGAAGTGACAGACATGGCACAAAAAGTAAACATAGAGATCACAATGGTATTGCAAGTTCCCTTTTAAAATAGACTCACTGTATAGTAGTATAGAGAAAAACAGTTACTAGTAAAAGTTTATATTAGAAATAAACAGGTATTCCATCATGTAAATATATTGAAAGTTACCCCATTCACCACTGAACAATTTATAAAGTACTGTAAAGTATAATGAAAATCAAAACAAGTGTATTTTATCCTGTATATTTTCCGCTATAAAGTCCCGCAAGTCAGCTTGTTTTGGAGTGGAGACTAAATTCATATTATTAAAATGAAGATTATTATTATAAATAAATAACAGTGCATCTAAAAAATTACAAAATTGTTCAGGGCAAAATAAAGAGATAATGAGTGTTTATTTTGAACCAATTCCATACATGTTCTTAACGTATATTGTACAATACAAACTAATACTAATAAATAAAATAATGTACAGGCTTAAAAAGCATAATTCACTCTAACATTCACAATTTTCATATTGTAATGATAATACAAACTTATGTCATTCCCATAATTAAAGTAACCATTTACTAAATTATGGTTTTTGAACGATGGCAATAAGTTAAAATATAAAAATTACACCTTCTCTACTAAAGAAAATAACAATGATAGATCTAGATACCTTTTTACTTGTGAAATTTGTATTTTGGTAGATGATAAAAAATATAAACTAAAAGCTGTATACAAATTAAAACGGAGACTTAATAAATGTATATTCAACGTGTAAAAATGGTAGATAGTAAGGCAGTAACCCGACATACATTTCAAGGCAGAGACTTAAAATGTGCCCATATTTTTTAAAACAGATATCGTCTGCATGACTTTGCAGAACATTTACATACTGGCCGATTTTTTTGTCCACCTTCCGAGAACAAATCTAAACGAGCACGACCTGGAGATAAGGTATGTTCAGATTCACCTCCTTGATCTTTATTCTTCTTAGAACTCCTAACTTTATTCCCGGACATATAGTCAAAAGTTAGCTCTTCGTCCTTTGGTATTTCTCGTAGGGCAAAAAGCGCCAACTTGGGAATGTTTGGGTCTAAGCAATTAATCCAAACCGCCCACACGCCCAAATTGGGAGAACACGAATGATTAATAAAGTGCGAAATGTTCCCATAAGTTGCCGCATCCACTGTGTACGGATTATCGGACATATTGAAATCAAGATCAAAAAGATAAGTTCTTCCTGCGGCATCGTAAATTTCTCCTCTTTTTTCAGCTTCATCGTGTGTTATCACTTCACCAACGTACTCGCACACAAACTCGCCCGCGGAAATCTTCCTCAAAGTCTTAACGCCCCACCCACACCCATTCGAAGTACGAAAAATGCACAGAGGAATAGTGCGATCTTTTTGAACTACACGATTACGGCAATCATCTCCACACTTACACATTTTATTACATTCATAAATGGGTGTACCTTTGGGTACATTTAGTTTTTGTTTATCGTTGTATGTGTATCTCCAAGAGTAATTCTTTCCGCAGCACGATTTTTCCTTGGGACCGCAAGACTCGCATTCGCAACCTATGGGCGGTTCATTGGGAATGCTGATACCTTCCATTGGTACATATTCATTAACGTAAATGAAACCTTCGGGAGGATCTTCCAAATCACAATTGTTTTCCACTTTTATTACTGCGCTCTTAGATGCGGTTTTGTTTATGGATTCCTCCCACCCATTTAATTTTAGTATCTGACGCTCTCTTTTTAAGAGCAGAAAGTATAACAGCACAGTTTCTTTTCCTCGTTTCATTTTCTTAACGTGTCGTTCAAGTGGTGGAGCAGAAAACAATGTTAGTATATCCCTTTGAACGTCTAAAAAACTTCTTAAAGCGGAAAATCCTTGAGGTGGAATTAAACTTTCCAAAGCCTTGTCAGATAAGTCTTGCGACACTGAGAAAGTTTGGCACACACTATCCAGCACAGATTGATTTAAAGTAGAAGTAAAAAATTCTTGCAGTTTCTCTGGGCAGTGATCCAGGTGGTGAAAAGGCTCCCAAGTGTTACATTCCTCTGACCATCCCAACCATTTCACCCTAAACATGTTATGGCCATTGTCTAAAACATGATCGATAATTTTTTCCACTATGTATTCTTTGGGGTAAACCCCTCCCTTTTTGTTGGCTTTACAAACCATTTTAGCTGAACGCCCTTTCAAGACATCTTCACTTTTGCGTTTTACAGATGGCGTCGTCTCTGAAGATATTGACATCTCCATAGGATTTGCTTCCACTGAAGGAAGTGCGTCTTCTGGAAGTTCCTCTTGTGCAAGTGTTGCATCCTCTGAAGAGACTGCTTCATCTGAAAGAGTGGCCCTTTCTGACGGTGGTGCTTCTTCTGTAGGAGTGATCTGTGAAGGGATCGCTTCCTCTGAAGAGGTTACCTCTTGTGAAGAATCTTTGTTGTGTGAAGGGGTTGGCTCCTGCGAAGAGGTTGCCTCTGGTGAAGGGGTTGTATCCTCTGAAGGACTCGCCTGATCTGAAGGAATCGCCTCCTCTGAAGGAATCGCTTCCCCGTTCACATCGAACTGCAGGTCGTCTGCAATTATTTGAAATATGACGTCATTCAAGTAATAGTAGGTTTAGAAAATGAGCAAAATAACTGTTCGATGTGAACGGTTCACAAAGTTCTATTTTTGAAACAAAGAATTTAGACAAGGACACAATTACACACTTTCAAGTATTAGAAGGAAGCATTTTTAAAAGACATTTGCACCATAAATACATACCTAGTGGTAGTGAGTACTCCCATCTAACAAAAGTGTCACTGATTACTGTTAGAATTCTAAAGTCAAAAAGCCTTGTCTGAATCCTTGCTCTTAAAAGGTAATACTTAGAATGTACCTAAATATAAATCCATTACAATTGTACAACTGTAATATTGTCTCGTTTTTGTGGTGCATGCGTGTGCTAAAATGAGCGGAATAACTAAACATTGTGTCAAGAATTGGATGCCTTCATAAGATAAAACTGAATAAGAAGTAATAAAAATCAAACATAAGCAAAAAAAATTCTTCAGCTATGTAGGTATACTTCACCAACTAATTAATTAAAATAGAAAACAAGCTTTTCGAGTTGTTTATTTGAGTTTTAATCCTCTAACTTCTTGGTTTATCCCGGTGCCATATTTGAGGAGAAAATCAGAAGAAGAAATACTCATATTAGACCCCAACTAAACAACAAGCAAAAAATAACAAAATAAAAACAAATTCAAATAATGTATTTGGGTACTCCATTTTCGAAACTGACAATGTTGTATCGATAATCAATCTTGTGACAACTTGTGTGACACATCGAATAAAGTGACATTCTGACAAAACTAATATTAAGCACTCCTAATTCACACGACAATATTATTAATAGTGGCTAAGAAAAAGCATTCATAACCCAAGATTTTTTTGTTAAATTGTAATATATGACTCCACAGCAAAAAGGTTTCGCTATACAAAAATGTCCAATGTTCTGTTCCTAAAAAAATGAGTAAAACTGGTACTAAAGAAATGAACGTTACAAACAGGTGTAATTCGCAAAAACAAGGTAAAAGCTTCTACACGAAATATCTCATATGTGCAATATGTATATACAGGGTGGCAAAAATCAAAATCCGTTTTGGTAATTCGGAGGCTGAATCACAATGACGTAGTTGGCGCCCCACTGCGCCCCAACTTTTAAATCTTAAATAGTGACCCCTCATGTGTGATACGTCGTTGGAAAGCTCTGAAAAAATGATTTCCAACAATAACAAATAGCATTACATTTAGGTTAGTAATTATCGTGCAAATCAAAAAATATCATATTAGTTTATTTTTTGATTTGCACGATAATTACTAACCTAAATGTAATGCTATTTGATATGGTTGGAAAGCATTTTTCAGAGCTTTCCAACGACGTATAACACATGGGGAGTCACTATTTAAGATTTAAAAGTTGGGGTGGCTGGGGCGCAGGGGGTTGGAAGGGGCGAGTCGCAAACTATGTCATTGTGATTCCCTCTTCGAATTACCGAAACGGATTTTGATTTTTTAAAATATCTCGTTCTTTACTAAGACATGGGAGGTGGTAAGTTTTCAAATTGCCACCCTGTATATACCACATGTAACAAGCTAATTGAAAATGGGTCAAACACAATGACCCTGTAGGGTCGCACTGAGGTGCTCTGCCGCTTTTTTAGATGCTCTTTAGGGGTTTATTGTAATTATAAATAAGTGTGCCATGGACAAAACAAGTTAGGCGGTTTTCTATTTATGTTGTTTACAACTGTCAGTTGCTCTTATTGAATTATTATTGTGTGAATACTGAATAAACTCAATTTAATAGAAAAATGCTTAATTTTACAAATAATGAAAAAGTTGATTGTACGAAGTGTACATTTTAGTAAGAAAAAATACCTTTGCCACGGTTGGAATGTATCAGAAGAAATATCCTGAAAGAGAGGTAACATCAGATGGATATTTTTGAAGGTTAGATGCCAGATTCCGTGCTAATACAACTGCGTTTGTGGGAAAATCAAGAACAATAAATAATAATATTTATATATCTTGGTCTATTTTGAAGCAAATCCAAGGGCATCTATTAGAATGGCTGCTACCATAGATCAGTAAGTAATTTGTTCCAAAGAATACAGTCATGTATTAACGAAAATGGAGGACAATTTGAGCGGTATTTGTAAATTTATGCATTTGTTTATCTAAGGGTATACAAATATTATATTATATCACATAGTTCTATTTAAAATAACAAAGTTGGTATCTACAGTTTGTGAACCACTGGTTGGAAAGAATTTTTTTTCGTGCTCATTAAAATAGTCTTGTAAAATAGAAATTCTTGCCAATTTAACCGATATTGTAGCTCTTATAGTTCTCAAGTTAGCAATAGTGGACAAAATAAAATAAGCACCCTGTATATTGATCTGTAAACAACGTCATGTAGTCGTTATTTTGGTCTAAATAATAACGGGACACCCTGTATATGAGAACATTTCAATTTATTAAGTAAATCTGTGAAATTATTTACGAGTTGGTTCGTTTTCTTTGAATTTGTATGTCAATGTTGTTTTTCCTTTGTTCATCTTATTTATCAAGCCACTTTTGTTTGTCATGTAATTCTGTGTTATAAATGAAGTACTTAGAAAAAAAATTTATAATAATAAAATGTGTCACCATAACGTCTACTAAGTATTTTTCGTTTTCCTTTCAAGATAGACAACTACATCCTACAAATCTGTGTTATAAAGCCAAGTGAAATTCAGAAGCTGTCTGTGTTTGTGAGTTTAGAGCGGCTACTTTTGCAAATTTTGTATGACCAGATTATTTGCATTATCAACTAACAAGCTTTCTACGCTCCCATTGAAACAACCTTGTAAGTGTAGATATTTAACAAAATCTATTTGAGTTTTGTGTAATTCCACAACTCGTTACCAAGGAATCTAAGCATTACTATTATTTATGTCAGCTTTTTTTAGATAGAGCCAAAAAGTGGATCTCAAAATTCAAAATTCAAAAGCCCAGTGAACTTTGGGAAATAATTAACCTAATTTTTAGCATTGTAACTAGTCTGTATCTAATCACACTAGAACCCCCGGGCAGCGGATTATCCGTGCCGTGATTTCCCTTCATTGAAATTATATTTTAAATTTATGCAGAATGCGTCAGAAGATTCAAACTGATAAATGCTTTTCACACAGATCAAAGTGACTGACTTTTTTTCAAAAGCATAACTATCTAAAAGAGACCGATTTTTGTAAGTAAGTTTATCATTTTAGTTTGGATATTTCAAGTACAAATTTTGTTGTATAAAAATTCTGTTTCCATTTCCTTTTTAGTACATACACCTGTATGTAGGGTTGTAGGTATACAATAGGTTCATATGCAAGAAATAAGTATTAATTTGGATTATCAGTGCGTCGTCCAGTCCCGTGGAGCACTGATAATCGAGGTTCTACTGTACATCAACTAATGAAACCTGCAACATGAACTTTTACTAAATGGTCCTATTAAGATTAGGTACTTAGTTATCTATTGTGCAAAGTACAATAATATTATTATATTATAATATATTATTATATTATTTTAAATATATTATATAATAATATTATAGGTATATTGTAATATTGTTTATCTATGAGTTCTATGACTAATATATAATGTGAGTATTATACTGATGGTTTGTTCGGTATAATGCCATCCATTATTCCCTTAGGGATTAAGGCCAAAACCCATTGGCAACACGCCACGCCACGCCACGCCATGTGGCATAGGCGGGAGAGTTTGTGTGCATATTTGTAACACGCCACGTGATTGTCATTTTATTAAAAAAATTGGCAGTAGTAACTTTGAGTGCGATGGACTACACTAGCGCAAGCAGTTCGTCTAGTGAGAGTTCTTTAGAAGAATGTGCTGCTGCTGCCATCGTTTTGAATCAGAAAAAAAGAAGATTCTGGGTGTACAAAATAAACCAAAACCGGGAAAATTTTTTTTGATTACGATATTTAAAAACGTTCTACTCATTCGTGAAAGACATTGCATGCTTAATAAAATTTTAGGTGATTTTCTACTTGTTCGCCATCTATCGGCAACATTCCCGCGGAATGCCCCTCTTAAAATAAATACGGAAACAGATTGCCGGGGGAGTGGAGAGACGATCGGGGAACATTCACACGTACCAACACGCGTCGGTCACATCTGAGGGTTTTGAATCGTCACACGTGAGGTGGCGTGGCATAGCGTGTGTCAAGTGTGTACGTGGTACATGTAAATAAATGGATGAATATACGCATACATTTTCGTCACATGGCGTGGCGTGGCGTGTTGCCAATGGGTTTCGGCCTTTATTAATGACCAGGGATTAATAGCTCTTACGCCTTCTTGTACTACAATCACAAAATTTCTTTAAATTTAATATCATCCATGGAAACAAAACAAATGTCAAAAGTGTAAATGTCAAGCAGGTCGTGTATTGTTTGTGTATATTTTTTGTATTAAAATGGATAAAATCTCAAGCTATTAAATTAGTCGTAGATAAAGTAGAGTATATTACTCGCATTAATGGATATTATACTTTCGGAATTTTACTCCCTAGCAAGCGGCTCAGTTCGTAAATATTCCTCGAGAATAGTAGCTATCATTATTGACTCGTGATATAATCTACTATTTTCTGATGACCGCTGCAATCTTGAAAATAATTGGTTTTCGATGTTTACATTTACCACTCTCATGGCTTCAATAATGCAAGTGTTTGTAATAATCTTACCTAATGTGGTCACTATTCAAGCTTAATATCTTCCACCCGCGTGGTTGTATCTGGTAGTATGAATAACTGAAATCTGAATTGGTAAAATGCTTCACTACATAAAAAATAAATACTCCGTTAACATTACATTAACAAGAAATGTGCGAACTTTTTTTAATTTTTGAGAGTTCACAAAATAATGAGCCTGTCTACAATTGAAGACTAGGATTTAATGTTATGCTTTACAGTTTTTTTTGTTGAACACTGACTATGTGAATTGAGCTGAGAGCTTGTGGTACACAAAGCCTAGCCGATTATGAGATCAATAAGATATACCTACAGCAATCTAACAATAACATAGGTAGGAGGCGTCAAGGCTGGGAATAGAATTGTTCTCATTCTCTATACTGTGCCTAAATAAATTCCTCACATAGACCCAAACTACTATGCATATAGTCTCACAGGAAATGATGGCAAAAACCGCCTTTCAAACACAGCTAAGCCACTAAAACACATTCGGTTCAATGGCCTGTAATGTAAAGTCAAAGTGAGACGGACTATTATAGTTCTGCATTAATATGCACAGTTTAAGTTGGCCTTAAGGTAAGTGTGCGCCGCACTGATCAAACTTCTAGTAGCTAAAAAATTACTAAAATTGTACCTCAGCTTGTTTTCAGTTAGAACCTTGAACACATAACAAATGACTAGGTCATTAAATATGGGAAACACAATACGATAAAGCATCCAATTCTAGACACACTGTAATTGACCCATTAAATCACAAATTATTAAGAATTTTTTGTTCCAGCTACATAGACATAAATTCCTTGTGATTGATTAACGCAGTATAAAAAAACAAAACTTAGAATTCGCACGACTCGAGAATAGTTTACCACCAACAAACTCTCTTGACCAATAATCCAAAAACAAAACACAAACGCATAAGACAAAGTAGAAAGACTTACCCAGCTTGATAGTAATATTTCGCTCCAGTTCATTTTTAAACCGTACAGTTTGGACTCCGGAAATTGCTTTGACAACGGTCGATTTACCGTGGGCTACATGTCCAATTGTACCAATATTGATTGTCGCTTGCCGACTTATCACTTCTGGGGAAAGAGCTGTTAGCTGTGTGACATCCTAAAAATGGATAGCAAAGAAATATTAAGGATAGCAGATGAAGACACCGGATTTTTAGGTTAGAATTAAGAGAAGACACATTTATTGAAAGTATGACCGGGAAATGTTTTATGCAAAAAACGAGATTCTGTGGAACTTACAAGTTTTGATAAGTCTTGTTTTTGTAAGTTAGGTTGACCTGTTGTTATTCCGCTACCGTCAGAAGCCATGTTTTTAGGGAAAGGTTGAAAGTCTTTTAACGGAAGGAATGTACAAAAAGGCGGGATTTTGTTTGTGGAGTTGCCACTTCGTTTCCTGCGAAATGTTCAGTTGTATTGGTTACCGCGTACGCGCCCTTTTTTTAAATTTTTGATTGACTAATGAAATCATACAGACGTGCAAAATAGTTTTGCAATGAAAGTTTATTGTAAAAAATAATGAAGAACAGATATTATTTGGGTTGTAAACAAAACAGTGTACAGTTAACAGATGGATGATGAAATGATTACTGACATTTGCATCACATCACATCACACATATTCATAGATCTCATAACGCACAGAATAGATGTGATAAATAGAACAGAGATGTATTGCGGCAATGCCAAATTTCTTATTTATTGAGATATTTCTTTGAAATTTTAACCGTAGAGGTTTGTTGTAAAGAAAAACACAGCCATAGCCTCTTGGGAAGTACAGATATATGCATAGAAATTCGTTTAAGTTACTCGTCTTATGGTGGAAACTTTTTTACTTGTGTCATATAGATATAGCATTACTTGGCTTGTGTACCTACCTAGCCAGACTTTCTGAAGCAATACGCACAAGGTGAGTCACCTTGAATATATGCATATGGAACGTAATATCGTTGAGTGAAGGAATCAAGGTAGGGAGGATATACTGTGGTAGAGGCGCAAATACTGTGGTAGAGGCGCAATGCCTATACTTGAAATTGTCGCGAACGTAGGAGTAGGATCCGAGATTTACACTGCGCTTATAGATTTTCAGATCCCGACGGTAAGTTTCTAGTCGGCGTTCCAGTACGGCGGCCGACCGTGACACGCCGCGTCAGTGTGCGATAGGGCAGCGCGGAGAGGACGTAAATCTGTGCCACGTCTCCGCCACAGGTCCTTTCGGTGTGAACTGGGCCTATGGATATTGCATTGCTTCTCTACCTGTAATGGCAACGCTGCCAAGGGTGCAGAAGGTTAGGTTTTTACATGCTGTACATGTACCTTAGTTGTAATGTTCATAAAAGTTAATAAATATTATTTAAACAATTACCTATGATGTTTACAATAAACATTACACTACCCAAGGTCATTGATTATACACACCTTACGTGACCTGATACTTCTAAAGAAGTAAGTACTTCCTCATGTATGCTCACCAATAGAATAATGGAAATGGGTAAATATAACCACAATTTTTCACGCCTTGTCCCTTTTTTAACAATTACATAGAAAGCGTGCCCAAAACTAGTCATTGAAAGTATTTTTGAAAAATAATGACAGTTGGCTTCAAAATAGCCATTAGAAGTTCATATATTCGAAGCGCGGCACAAAACGTTAGCTGACTGGCTTGACGTCAGCTGCCCGCTCCTAGCACCGCCCACTGTTGCTCGCATGCGGAACGCAGGTAATATCATGTTTGTTGGTTTGTTGTTTAAAATGGATGAAATGGAACCGGAATATCAAAAAGCGGACGTATAAATTTACTGTAGACGTTGAGTCGCTGCACGATTTTATGGCCCTCAATACCCAATTGTCTTTTCCGGCCGCACATGTCACATTGCTAAATGTCTATAATGACTCCTGTCATCAGTGGCAGATTGACATTAATCGTTGTGTGTATAATCAATGCCAAGGTTAATATTAATATTAACCTTGATCTCTACCTGATTTCTTCACTCAACGGTAATGTGTATGTTTAGTTGCCTAGCAATTTGTTGCATTCAACTCTTTCACGTTTGACAACACTGTAGCACAAACGTTGGAAAATATATTTTATTATTTTTGCGTTTTTGGTTATGTTAAGTTTTTTGATCCAAAAAAGATGTCTTTTCGTGGTACTTTCTTATTGTTTAAAAATTTAAACAAAATGCGTCAGCTATTCCTATCAAAGTGCTCCAATTCGAACAGGACCTTTTTGCCAAGTACTCGATTCATTAGTGATGCTAGTTCAAACATTAAACCCATTGGACAACTGGAGCGTAAATTACAGCTAACTTTCACATGCAAGAAGTGTAGCAGTCGAAGTAGTCATTTTATATCAAAGCAAGCATATGACAATGGTGTGGTAATTGTTAAGTGTTCAACTTGTGCAAACAACCACCTCATCGCAGACAATTTAGGGTGGTTTGAAGATCTAAAAGGTAAAAAAAATATAGAAGAAATACTTGCTGAAAGAGGCGAAACTGTAAAAAGATTGAGAAGTAACTTATTACACATAGAGGGACACAGTGCGTAACTTTATTTTTTAAAAAATTTGTAAATACACAATGTACCAAAATATAAGTAGTTAATAAAACTACATTTATAAATGTTATTAATAAAAATTCGTTGCATAATATCCGGTACTAAACATACCCATAAAGGATTTCTTTAATTATAATACTTAGATATTAATCACATAATATTGGCTTCTTTCCCTTACAGTAGTTGTGGCCATCAAACTTAGTAAATACTTAACGTGGCACAGTTAAGTTTAATGATCACTATGTTCAGAATGTCCACTGCAAAAGACTAGACACGTTTTGGTTTGTTAATTACAGCATAAGGCTCATTATTGTATAATTGGTGATCAATGGACTCTTTAGGCATTTTTCGAATCATGGCATATCCTAAATGAGAATCATCTGCAATTCGCACACTCTCCATGGTGGGAACCACTTCGTCATAATCATTAAACGAAGATGGAGATTGTGCAGGTAATACTGGTGCAGTAGGGATCTGTTGGTATTTGGAATTTTTCACATTTAATTTACCGCTCAATCCAAAGAAATTTAAACGATCGTACCTATCATCTACATTCGGGGAGACATTTATAATTTTTGTCACTTTTGGCAAGTTGAGGTGCTCTATGGGTGAATTGTTCGCTTTACGACCCCACGAGACATATTCCTCCAACTCTTCTTCGTCGATATTTTCTGTGTGCTTAATATCGTCCGTTCCTAATGTACGCCAAGCTTCATTTCGAAATTCGACTTGATCATATTTGTTTACTGCTTCGTAATTTGAATGCTTCAAATTTCCTTCTGGTTTTGTTCCAATAAATTTTCTAGGCGGTTTCATTGGAATCACTTTTGTATTGGTGATCGCAGTTAATTTCTTTTCAAATGACGAGTCGAATAAGGAGTTCGCTGTGAGGTTTGAGGTATCAGATTCTATGTCCTGTGCCGAGGATGATGTAGTAGGTGATGGCGGTAATGGTGTATGAGAACGAGCTTCCATTCCTAATGTTGCTTGAAATTGATTATCCCCACAGTCTAAGATAGACGAATTTGCCTCGTTGATTAGCAGTTTCTTCATAGATTTCATTTTTGAAGCAACACATCTAGAATAAAATCTAGCTAAGTAAGAGCCGAGGTAAGAGCCAAACCTGAACTAGACTTACCTGAATATTGCTTTTTGATTAGAATGTTCTAAATGAAATATTCCTTCCCCAGATTCACATTTGCGACCCGCTTCAAATGTAAATTTGCCTTCACGATATCCGTACCTTCGTATAAATCTATATGGCCAAGTATACAATAGTTTATTAGTTTCATTATCACGTATCTGAATTGCTGTCGCATTTAACACCAATATGTAGTTTTCCGGATATAACCCGCATCTTTCAGATGCTTCAGATGCATGCAATGTAACATTAAACATTTCATCGCTGGAAGAGCAATAGAGATCATTATCTTCTTCAATACTAGTTATTCGAGAAGTTTCATCCTTGAAGGCAACCGATTGAAGTGCAGCTAACCATTCTTTTAATGATTGCTGTGTGATAGTGTTAAATTCATAACTAGCCGTTTTGGTAATCAACTGAAACGCTGTTTCATGTTTTTGAGCTATTTTAACACAATTTTCTAGTGTAATTATTCTCGACGATGAGTTTTTAGTTATTGAATTTTCATCCACCCCATCATATATTTCTAATCTTTCGATGCCAAATTTGCTTGCTTTATATAACTGACAGAATCTCTGATGCCAAGTTTTCTAAAGAGAGAGAAGCAACAATGAGGAAAGTTACACATGGAAGTATTCAAGTTATCTAACCTTAATTAACAGTTTTGCCTGTGGAGGAAGTAACAATAGACCAGAGAAAACTGGTTTATCTTGATCCATTTCTTTTGACCACTAAATTAATGAGTAAAATTGCAGTAGAAGGCAACATCTAAACAAAGTAAAAAGTTGTCACTGTCTCACCACAACATAATTTCGCAATGGTGTTTCGATAACACCTAACAACCAACGGTATCCGGTCGTATTTGTCATATAGATCTGATAAAGAATGTGTAATGGGTATTTCCTCCCAAATGATCTACATAATTTTGTTTAAATTTTGAATAACGACAAGTTTTGACAATACAAAGACATGGAAATGACAGAAGACACAAAATGACAGTAGTAAAACTCGTAGGTAGTCACTCACAACACGCCAACGTCGACCGACGCCCCGAGTCAGAAGGTTTTGGTTTGAAAGCCACGAAAAACTAATTTTGATTCATAGATATATGAGCGGAAGGTAAAATAAAGGAAAACTCCCTACGAGAGGTGAAGTAATTTCCAAGGAAACGCAAATTGATTAAAGTGAACTAGAACAAAATTAACCTCAATAGTCTACAGCAGCCAATGAATAAAGATTCTTTATTCATTGACAGCAGCCATTCTAACCAGAACCGGAAATGAATGCATTTATCCATTTATAGGCCCCTCACTAGAAACCCCACCGTTATAGATTGGTTCGCTTTTATGAAAAACAGCGTTTTAAAGAGTTCTATTTTTATAGAGGCATTTCAGACAACATTTGGGCAAATAGACGTTTTTTACTAATTTGGACCTGCTGAACACGAATATCGATTTTGGCACCTCGATATCTGGACCGGAACCTCATAATCCATCATGGTGGCCAATTTCCGGAAATACAATCAATATCAAAATCAATATTTTTACTTTTGTGAACGATTTGTCCGATCTGAAAACTGATTATAACGATATTTCTTACGCACGGCACGATAAATACAGTGGATAAATCACAAAACTGTACAAGGTTGGCTCGCATATTTTAGGCGGCGTCTTTTCTCTACGTCAGATAGCTGATTCAATATATAGTCCGAGAGCTCGTAGACATTTTTGGGTAGGTATTTGAGGCACCCTGAAAACTTGTCCAACACTTCTCCAATAATGCTCAAACACAGAAATGCAGACCTGGCTGAGTAGTGGCGGGCTAACACTTTGCCAGGGGCCTTCAAAGTTTGAAAAAAATAATGTCATTGATTTGTGAATCAATTTCAGACATATGCAGACATACCGCATACGCTAAAACGCTGCAACAACTATCAAGTATACGAAATCGATAAAAAATCTTGTCTGAAATTGATTGACAAATCAATGGCGCAAGCCCAAGGGACTCCTGATTTGAAGTGTATACTGACCGCAATAAATACATGAACACCCAGTGTACTTTGATCACTTTTGACGAAAGTTTTAGGAGAATTGTCTTTATTTAGGCATAAGAAACGATCCAATTTCAACATGATACAATTACAACTAATTCAGACGACACTAATAATGTGTAGATCATCTACTATACTTCTTACGCACTGATACTCGACTCTGGGCATACATTCTTTTTTCAAACTTTGAAGGCGCCTGGCAAGGTGTTAGCCCCGCTTCTACTCAGCCAGGTCTGCATTTCTGTGTTTGGGTATTATTGAAGAAGTGGTGGACAAGTTTTAAGCGTGCCTCAAATACTTACCCAAAAATGACTACCAGCTCTCCTACTAATAGTTTCCACCGGTGCGGTGGTGCGTGTCGCGCTTTGTTCGGTATAAGAGCGAAGTCACTACCAGACGCCCGTTTAGGAGAAGGGACACGTCCTTGGTCGTGACCCCGTTACCATTTACTGATGATTGCTGTTGGAAAGAAGTTGTAAATGGCCACATTCCTATTCTCACAACGTTAGAATAAATTCCGAGGGCTCTATTTAGGTTCGGCCTTAAGTAGGTCTTTATGGTTGTAAAAAGGATTGTTCGTCAAAACTTTGTAATGTCCCACTCGTAGGCGCAAACCATCTAATAATAAAACAGCTTCTATAATTAATTTCTACATTCTGCATTTCCTCCACAGTTTCGGCAGTCTCAAAAGGCTCTTTTTGAAAGTCCCTTGAGTCATCCATCATACTTTGATTATACACACCACCTGTGTATACCAATGGTAAAGTATTTCGCTCATATAGACATGCCGCAACGTCGGAAAGTTTCGCCTATCGATTACTACGTAGGTATGGTCTTTTAGCATATGGCGATTGCGTAATGTTATGAAAAGTGGAGTCTCCATCTATTATTTGCATTATAAAACGAAATAATAATGGAATCCGGTTAAAATGAAAAATGGATAAACGGAGGAAACCTTGTGGCCCTAAGGTCTCATAATAAAGGCTTGATGTTTATTTTCAAGTCTTCTTTAAAACATTGTTAATAAAAATATACTTAAATTATTACCAATATTATGTTGAAGGTAAGTATAAGACTGAAACACCTCAATTAATTGATTAACCCCCATTTTAAGGAAAAAGGGCAGGTAAAATTTGAGGAAAAATGGCCTTATATGAGACCCGTTGTATTAAAATTACTCAAACAAGAAGCAGTCTCTCAACCGGAGTGGCAAGAGCTATTTTATTCGGTGCATCTAGTATGTTTGTGGGACGAAAAAGGACCCATAAAAATTAGGGACCATCTGCACGAAGATATTGTGCAATTTATAAAGGAGGCGCAGATTCGAGTTTTAGCACAAAGAGAAGAGCAAGCTTTATTAAAAGCTTATATTGCAGAATGGCGGAAGTTTTTTACACAATGTAATTATCTACCCACTCCCTTTAGGCAATTGGAATCCGCACTGCAGGGTAAACCCGCTTCTGGTACTTCTAATGTCCAAACAAGCAGCACTAAAAAAAATCAGCATGATGACAGTATAGTGCGTAAATTGATGCTGGACTCGTGGAACGAAAGCATATTTAGTAATATTAAACATCGACTGCAAGAAAGTGCAATGAAATTAGTGCAGGCAGAACGAAATGGAGAAGCGTTTGATTCTCAATTGGTCATAGGTAAGTTCTCTACCTCGCAACGTAGCAAGGCTACCATCCAAAACTTTCAAAACTAAAATTAAGACATTTTTAAAAAAACAAAGTTTTTACGACATTAACGAATTCTTGAATTGCCAATGGTCTTCATCCGATTTCAATGTAAGTTAGTCATTAAATGTTTTTGTCCCTTGTTTTTTATCCTTTTCAGAATTGACGTTTGTAAACAAAAAATTTTTGTGTTAACAACAATAAAAAATGAAATCTACACAATGCAAGATTAAATTTCTTTCTGCTTTCATCCCATTAGAAGATTTCTTACGCGTGTATAATGCTATCAAGGTACAAATGTGTAATCTATACAGATGATGACTTGCATTATGTCACTTGTAGTTACAAGTTTGAATATGAATATATTTCATTCCACATTAAATATGATAGGTATACAGGGTGACAATTTGAAAACTTACCACCCCCCATATCTTAGTAAATAAACGAGATATTTAAAAAAATCAAAATCCGTTTCGGTAATTCGGAGCGGGAATCACAATGACATAGTTGGCGACGCACCCCCTCACACCTCCTGCGCCCTAGCCACCCCAACTTTTAAATCTTAAATAGTGACTCCTCATGTGTGATACGTCATTGGAAAGCTCTGAAAAAATGCTTTCCAACCATACCAAATAGTATGTATTACATTTAGGTTAGTAATTATCGTGTAAATCAAAAAATAAATATGGAAAATCGTATTTAACTTGAACTTCCAAAGCCGACTCGACAGCAACTCATTTTTGATCGCCAGTTATAATCTATTCTCAAACTCTTGTCGAACCTTTTCAAATGTTGGTTTTGCAATATTTCGACATTCTTGAATTATTCTCTGTCTTAGTTCGTCTATGTTCGCCGGTTGCGGTTTAAATACGACAGATTTCAAATGTATCATATTAGTTTATTTTTTGCTTTGCACGATAATTACTAAACCTAAATGTAATGCTATTTGGTATGGTTGGAAAGCATTTTTTCAGAGCTTTCCAACGACGTATCACACATGGGGGGTTACTATTTAAGATTTAAAAGTTGGGGTGGCTGGGGCGCAGGGGGTTGGAGGGGGTGCGTCGCCAACTATGTCATTGTGATTCCCCCTCCGAATTACCGAAACGGATTTTGATTTTTTTTAAATATCTCGTTTATTTACTAAGATATGGGGGGTGGTAAGTTTTCAAATTGTCACCCTGTATATACTTTTGTATTTTTTAATTTGCAGTTGTAAGAATTTGATTTTATAGATATTTTCGGAAAATTACTTCTCATCAAGAAGTGATAAGTTGTGGTCATAAATTGGGTAATACTCCTCTATTGTACTGTTGCTTGTAAATTAACACAAAATATGTGAAGAAAATAATCAGGCAAGTTACAATTGTACATCCCGAGGGGTGAGACACTCCTAAAAATTGGTACACTTATTTACAAATACACTTCTATTTCCCATATAGCATATATAGCAATAGCCATGACTTTTGTTGTTTTATAAATTGCTACTAATAACAGAAATGTTGAAATTTATTTTTAAATTTGCGGGTAGACCAAAAGCTTAATAAAACATGTAAAAACGTTTTGTATACACTTTTTATCTCTGAACAATTTTAAACTCTACAGTTTTTTCTGTAAAACGTACAGGAGGGCAGGATATTGCATAAAACTAATTTTCCATGTTAAATTCCTATGTTCCTACTTACCGTGCACCACCGGTCTAGTTTCAACAGTCGGGCCGTTGTGACACATGCGGGGTGCGTAAAAGGTGAATCAACTGATTTGTTTTGCTCGCAGCTACGTTGTTGATTTGTCACTATATCTCCATCGGGTTAGTGCTCGCGTACTGCCTGCGTAAGATTCAATTTGGGTCAATTATCCGCAACAACACTGTCTCTCTATTTACTATATACAACTGTGGTATTATATAATTTATTGGATTTTCAGTGTTTAGGTATACAGGATGTTACATATAGGTATGTAAAAAATTGGGTGGGAGAGCGGATCAAAACAAGTACTTTTTCCAAATAAACCGAGAGTCCAATGTGTTTCGTTTGGGAGCCACCCCCAAAAATGTGGTGAAATTTGCATTTCTTCTTTAATTTTTTTCTTAGCAACCGTCAGATTTAGAAAGACTGGCGACACGTTTTTTAATAGGTTGTCCGATGTGCCCTTTCCTATTTTGCAAATATTTTTTCAAAATTCCCCCTAAATTGGGGTGTGAAAGAAATTCTGATTTCGACGAAATTTGGTGTCTGAACATGAAAATAACAAATCTGAAATTAGTTTTTGAAAATTCGAAAAAAATCCACTACAATTCTTGGCCGGACAGAAAAATGGAGAGATTTCCACAAAATTTGTTGTGTACATACTTGGTGAGTTAAGTAACAAAATTGCCGAACAGTTTTTTTAAATCACTTTTCAAACAAAGGTACATATACTCATTTGAAGACTGGGCCTTCAGGTCACAAACTGTCTCCCGTCTACTAGTGAGTCATCTAATATCGCATGTAGTCAATTGAAAATGTCGCAAATAACAAAAAAATAACGAGCTGCTATCAAGTTGCCTTTGGAAGTTCAAGGTCAGTACGATTTCCCATGTAAACAAAAATTACAAAGGTGACTCGACAGCAACTCATTTTTGATCTCATAGTATATATGACTTCCATGCTGTTTTCTTATCTTTTGTCAGCTCGTCCTTTTGACGTGTTTACTGGATTTTCTCATCCCACATATTTTCTCTTTCGTCTAAGGTGCAGTTAGTGTGTTTATGTTCGAAATTTCTATCCCTATTTCTAGTTTTACTTTACGTAGCGTTGTGCTTGTGTACAGGTGCACCATCTTGTTCACAACTTTTGTTTTTTTTTTGTGTGTCGTACATCGTCGTATTCATAATAAAAAATGCTACTCTATGCAGTATGTACTTTTGCTACGTGCCATATAAAAAAATAAAGTTGATGTTGATTTTTCCGAAACGAAATTTTTTCGCCTGCCCTGTATACTGTTGACATTCTAATTGTACAGGGTGTCTTAAATTGATAACATGGTTATCTTTGTTATTATTCTACTTACAGATTCGGTTAAATTGGCAAAGTTATGTAGTTTTTGATGCTAATGGATATTCCGACGCAATATTTTGAAAAAAATAAGTCGTTTCGTAGATAAATAATTGGAACAAAGTGAAAATCGCCATTTATTAAAAGTTCTAATATTTTGGTAACGAAGAGAAGCTATCGAAAAAAGTTTCAAATAAAAGTTGCAAGATTGGATGGGATAAATTCCATGGGAGTAAAAAAAATTGGTTTAAAATGGCGGTTTTCGAGATATTTACATCAACTTCCTTGTTTTAAATTGACGCCATATTGAAGTTTTACGTCATTTGATAGGGAAAAAAATTACACAACCAGTGATACTTTTTTATTCTGGAATCAATTTTGCATTTATACCTCGGAGTTTTTATGGCAATAATTCCATGGCCGTGTCGATGGTGACTATGCGAGATAATAAACGAACGAATTTGGTTTTAATCACAATCGGCCATGGGATTATTGCCATAAGAAATACATTGTAAACGCAAAAATGCAAGGTTGAGTCCCAAATGAAATACCAAGTGTTTAGTATCACTGGTTTCCGCAACGGGAGAGATACAATGTAGGTTAAATGGGAACAAAATTGTCCCTTTTTGTGACTAACAAAACGCAATTTTGACATTTTTAGTTTTTTGGTGATATCCCAGTCGCGTTTTTTTTATTCACAAAAAGGGGCACCTCTGCCCCCATTTAACCTACTCTGTATCTCTCACTGTTGCGGAGAGTCCAATGGCGAGCCATTAATTTGAACCACCCTGAGCATATTCAATTGACCACAATAAAGTTTCAATCACCTTTTTATGAAGGTCCATTAATCTCATATGGATAATTGATATATCCGTTGTTTGTTGCAGGCGTCAGGGAGTCGTATGTAAACTTGTGTTCCAACACAGACGACAAAATGCAAATATACAGGGAAAACTTTGAAGCAGCTTACATACAAAGTACAGAAACTTTCTATAGACTAAAGGCACCCGAACAGCTATCAACAAACGGGGTTCAGGCGTATATGAAATACGCTGACAATAAGCTACGAGAAGAAGAAGGTAGAGCACAAAGGTATTTGGAAGCTGGAAGTAACGGCGTCATTCAGTGCTGTGTTAAAGTATTAGTCGGAAATGCTTTATCTGCAATTTTGGCGGAATGTGCTCCACTCATAAGAAGTGGAGAAACCGATCGACTGCATCTTATGTTCCGCTTGTTGGAAAGAGTACCAGACGGCGTCCTACCGATGCTGCGTGAGCTGGAATCGCACATTACGTCCGCTGGTCTAGCCGACATGATCGCGGCGGCGGATATAATTACACAAGATTCAGAGAAATATGTCGAAAGATTATTGGAATTATTTAGAAAATTTAGTGCTTTAGTGCGGGACGCATTCATTGATGATCCGCGATTTTTAACCGCTCGCGATAAAGCTTTTAAGTCTGTCGTAAACGATACTACTGTTTTTCGATTGGAGCTTGGAACAGGCAAAAATGCGAGTACAAAAGTTGTAGCACCGGAAAGTAAGTGTCCCGAGTTGTTAGCGAATTATTGTGATATGCTTCTAAGAAGGACTCCATTGTCTAAACGTCTTACTAGCGAAGAAATCGAATTGCGGTTAAAAGATGTACTGTTAGTGCTAAAATATGTAGCTAATAAAGATGTCTTTATGCGATATCATAAAGCACATCTTACTAGAAGACTCATTTTAGATGCAAGGTAAGATAGTTACATTTCCATACTTCCAAGGTCGCGACTTTGCGTTGTTTAGAGGTTTTTAAATGCAGAAAGGGAGCGCGTGATACATATCTCATTTTAAAGTTCTTATTATCCACAGTTCACCTTCCTAGTTCCAAGTCACCGCTCTAATGCTAATTGTTTGTTTCTTAATTGTTTAATTTGATACAATACATTTTGACGAAGCGCCATTTTAGATGGGGCCATAGACATATGACATCTATGGGTTACACTAGAAACTTAAACTTTGGAGGTGAACTGAGGATAAAGAGACTTTCAAAATGGCGCATGGTCGCTATCTTACAAGTTTGAACTGTCAATTTTACGTCAAGAGATAGTTTTTTATATTGGGGATTTACGATAACTCAACCGTTTGAACCGGATTGGTAGAAATCACCATAGAAACAATTGTGGTACCTAATAATTGCAACCATAGCAAAATCTACCAACCTGGTTTAACCGGTTGAATTATTGTAAATCCCCTTTATTGTGCCATTATAAATATAAATGGAGTAGTACCTAGAACACTCACTAGCAAGGGTTTCCTGTCTCCACTTCATCAAGCGCTCCAGACAGAATGTGGGTACGATGTGACATTAAAGCATCAACTATAAACCCAAATATTTCTATTTCTAGAAATGATATCATTAAAATGAAAAATGTCAATACATGGAATGTATAGAATTTTATGTACAGTTTAAAAATGAAATAATATATAGGGTGTTGGCATCAACTCCGGTATAACCAAAAATGCCACAACTTGAAAATATTTTTGATGAATTCCTCATATTAACAGTAGTATATTGCCAAATTTTCCAAATATTATACGGTCTTCTTTTCGAGATATAGATAGCCGGCACATGGAAACATTAACTTTGGAAAAGATTTTGTTGCACAATTCTATTTTTGAGCTATGTTGTGAAAAATATGTAAAATTGCTAATAATATATTGTATTTTAGTGCCGATAGTGAAAAAGAAGAAGATATGGTTGAATGGTTGAGAGAAGTAGGCATGCCTGCAGATTATGTAAATAAATTAGCTCGTATGTTTCAAGACATTAAAGTGAGTGAAGATCTGAATGGTCAATTTCGTGTATCCACCGCAAGACATGATGCGATAAACATAAAAATTTTAAATGCTGGTGCTTGGGCCCGTGGTTCCGAAAGAGTAACTGTTAGTTTACCTTTGGAATTAGAAGACTATATTCCCGAAATAGAAGAGTTTTATAAAAAGAAACATTCGGGAAGAAAGTTACAATGGTTTGTCTGCAGTTTTATAAATAAATATTATTAATTCATATCTTTTACAGGTATCACCATATGAGTAATGGAACTATAACTTTTGCAAATAGTGTGGGTCGTTTCGATTTAGATGTAACTACGTTTCAAATGGCCGTATTATTTGCATGGAATCAGCGACCGTTTGAAAAAATAAGTTACGAAAATTTACGTTTAGCAACAGAACTTCCTGATGCTGAACTACGAAGAACATTGTGGTCCTTGGTGGCATTCCCTAAACTTAAGAGGCAATTGTTATTGTTTCAACCTATAGTGAATGCACCAAAAGATTTTATGGAGCATACTGTCTTTTGGATTAATCAAGATTTCGCGTTGGTAAAAAATGGTAAATTACAAAAAAGGGGCAAAGTAATGATCACATACCAATTAAATAGACATTTTTATCACATTTTGTTTTAGATTAATTTAATTGGTAGATTGCAATTAAGCACTGAAAGGTCCCAGATAGAAGACAATCAATCGATTGTACAATTGAGAATATTGCGTACTCAAGAAGCGATTATTAAGATTTTAAAAATGAGGAAACGAATCACTAATGCAGCGTTACAAGCGGAATTAGTGGATATTTTAAAAAATATGTTTTTACCATCAAAGAAGATGATAAAAGAACAACTCGAGTGGTTAATTGAACATAAATACATGAAGCGAGATGATGATGATATTAATACTTTTATTTATATGGCCTAATTGTTATTAAAACATTTTAAAAAGTTTTTTTTGTTCTCATTTTCAAATACACCTACCGGGCACAAGAATAGCTGGCCGTACACAGAAGTTGATCCTCCGGGTGGAACTGCGACCAATAAATGTTAGTTTTATGCGTCACTGACAGACAATTCTGTCCTGGTTAAATCTAGCGCACGCTTACCATTGAAATAAAGCGCTTACCCACTGACTTACAAACAAATCTGTACTTTTGAATCATGTCATTTAGTTCAGTTCATTCAGTTGTGATTCTTGATTGAATAAATGTAATGAATTTATGGGTTGCTTTTGTTTATTGCATATTGCCTTTGAATATGAAAACTTAAGAAAAAATAAACAACTTGATTCTGTTTAAACTTGACGGCATTGAATTTATATTTACCAAGTGCGACTGCGTGGCTCTTTGTGTATACATAATTGCCATAACGGGGTTTTAAGAAAATAACCCACTGACAGGAGTATTATATTGAGGGACCAGGTTTACCATATAAGTGGAATTCCGACCTTAGACTCTTTAAATTAATGGGAACGGGAGAAGTGTGGTGTAATCTTTTATCAAGAATGAGAATGTATTCCCATTGAAATAGTTATATACAACGTGTATAGACCATGGATCCAGTTACCAGCTATTTAACGATTCGGGCGCAAAAATTTTATTGGGGTCTGTCTGACCTTGACTACAGTACATGCTCTTGTGACGCGCTATTTTAATTGGTCAATTTGAATTAACGCGGAGTGTCGTAATCAGTGCCAGAATGTCGGGCAGGGCTGAAACACATGTAGGAATGGTGAAGAAAACAGCATTCCCATCCTTAACATACGAGTACTTAATTTTACATTAAAAAATTATCTTAGTGGAGTTACTTCAGATCAATCATCTTGTTCGCAACCAACAGAGATATTATTGTTCAGCGACATTGAAGTATTGTTATGGACAGAGACTTTATTTATATTCGACTTGACTTCAGGATTGTTGCTAGTAGTATATTCAGTGTTTGAAACAACCAATGGTTCGTAAAATATCGGAGGTTGAACATTTTCCTCATGGAATTTAAACTTACTGGAAGATCAAAATTGCTTCATCAAAATTTGGATAAACTGTTGCTTAATGTTTGCAAAACCGATGAAATTTCCCACTGGGACAAGTACAAAATCCAATATTGCCATCGACATATTGAAATTCAGCTTTGTTGTTCACACTAGGAACTTTGTACATTTTTTTACTAGGACTGACACATTGAATATCTTCATTTTAATTCAGGATGTTTTTTTTAATAAGTTTAGGTAATAATACCAATCTTGAAGTCTTATTTCTCGAGTGAACAAGGTTTCATTCTTCCCTGGTAATACACCTCCGTGCTGAATCCTATGCCGGAATGTTTAAATGCTACCGGGTGAATATTCCCAAATCGAACATAGGGAATTAACATGGGAAAAAGGTTTTTTGTAGATAGTTAATTAGATAAAATAATTAGATAGATAATTGCTGAATTTTTGATAAAATAATGAAAAATACACCTGAAAATAAACTAATTCGTATATCATTAGTTGAGAAAAAAAATCTTCTTTTGTTGGTGTCATATGCCACATAAGTATTTCTTGAATCTGTAAGACAAATGTTAATAGTGTCGTTTATATGTTATAAGAGTAATTATAAAAGTACATAAGTACTGTCATCATATTTTAATTGGCATAATTCAAAAGATTAACCGATCACTAAACATGTTTAAGTAATGCAGAAATTACTTCTCAATGGCGTCAGTTTTGGTAATGTCCTCTCGAATTAGTTCCAATACTTATTAAATGTCTGCATATCCATCGGGAAGTAATTTTGGTAATCTTCAGAGTGATGATTCATCAAATTTTGATGTATCTACACCTGGCGTATTCCGAACAATTTATGAACGTAAATGGTAAAAATGGTACTCATGCAATGCTCGCCAGCATTGATGTTATGCCAATCTCGAAACAGTTCAGCTCTGCAAATGTAAAAACTGTTCCAAAAAAAATATGTAAATGTTTATCAAATAATTCTTCTTGTTGCTTTTATTGCAAATGTGTTGATAAGTGCAGAAACCCATTACAAGCTAAAGGGTCTGACGAAGAGAGCGAAGACGAGAAAGATTTGTGACTGGGTGCCCAAGTACGTGCTGGAAAATTGTAAAATTGACTGTATAAAACTATATATATTTATCTAATAACATCATTATTAAATTTATCTTACACATAAGAAATGTGCATTAAACATGATTTTTGATCGGATTTAGATTTATTCCAAAATAATTTACTTGTAACAAAACAGTTAGAGGTACGACTTTTATCCTTTTACCTTTTTTGTAGGTAAGCTGTAAATAGCCGCTTTAAGCAGTGCTCTAACTATATTACCGTCTTTGAGTTATAAACGATAAAGTGAATCGCCACGCGCGCGACTTTGCCCCCTCCCCCTCATGTGATGCTCACCGCGGAAATGCGACGACATCGATTTTTTTCATCTACTATATGCTCCCAACAATAATCAAAAGTCAAACTGCGTTAGACTTTCAATGCATGCTCAAACCCTTTAGCGCCCGGCCTATTATATTCGTAGTGTTTACATATAAAGTTTCATTTACATATCTTCATAAACAAAAAAAGTTAGCTTTCACACTGCGCATGCGGAAAACCAAAAATATGCACGGAATCCTTGGCCTTTCAAATGAGCCTTATATCGCCAAAATCGGTTCAGTAGTTTAGAAGGAGTACGTGTGACGGACAGACGGGCGGACGTCAAAATGCAGCCAATAGCGATTTTTCACTTTGAGGAAAATACGCTAAAAAATATGAGCTAGAGCAATATGTGCTGCATCAAAATGATGCAAAATTAATACAAAGAGATGGCGATGCATGTATTTTTTATGCTTGATTGTTGGGTATATTTTCCGGAAATGTCACTAGTGACTTTAATGTAACCTACAGTGACTTTATAGAGATGTAACCTAAAGTCCCTATCTAGGGACTTTAATGTAACCATTAATCGGATGCCCTCTAGCGGCAAACCTAGAAACTTAAAAAATAATTTCCAGCAATTTTTCTTGGCCTCTTTTTTTCCCGAACCTAATGTGCACATAACGGTTCCATAGATCCTGTGACCGACACCCTGTACATACATATGTCGTCATGGACTTTTTAGCGGGAAACTTTTTCTCTATCCATTTCCATAGTGTACCTACCTACTTACACTATGCCATTTCGCAGTTTGCCTTGCGTTCTGAAAGCGTAAACGAGACACATTTATCGATGTAACCATTACCTTAGTTAGACTATGAAAGAAATTCCTTTTCTAAGGTTAACACACCAATAATATTGTCGATCCCGAGAATGAGAGTGTAAAAAAGGAGCGATCATGCAAACACTTGCTGAACCAGTGATGTTTTATTATAGGCAAGAATTAGGTAGCTACTTACTTACTAATTATGCGCCCTGGACTGCTATTCTTTTGAGTTCACAGGAATCGAATTAGTGAGAGAAATGGGGCAGAGTTCTCACGCGAATCAAAATAATAAATAATTGGTAACCATAGAGATATACAGTTGGTTAATTACGAAAAAGTTGCGTGTTTTAGGGGTTTTAAAATGATGTTTTAAAAATTTGGAAATTCCGATCAGTTCCGAAAATATTCGAAAATCAATATTTTTACATGGACCGGAAAAAAGTACCTACCTACATAGGTACTGTATTGAGTAGCATTTTTTATTACGAATGCAATGATATATATTATGTTTCTTTATTAGGTAGGTATGTTATTTCAAGGAACTATCCATGAATTATTTTGACATTTTGTCAACGCCTACTACACCAAAATGTTAATAATTTAATAACAAGCCTTTTTTCTGACTTAAATATCTAATAAGGATAACCAATTTTTAATATTTTGGTGTAGCAGGCGATGACAAATGTCAAAAATTCATTGATGATTCGTTTAAATGACATAATAAAGAATCATACTGTGCCATACATTGTTGTATTTGTAGTAAAAAATGCTACTCAATACAGTATGTACTTTTTTCCGGTGCATATACAAATATGAAGTTGATGATGGTTTCTCAAAGACGAAACGTCTCAGTGAAAATCTGTGGGCACCATTTTGTAGAGCTTAAAAAGTGCCTATGGGGAATAGTATATTATTCAACGAGTGGGAAAGTTGGCAATTATTCACGAAGATAAGATTTGCGCCACGAGTCGAAGACGAGTGGCGTAATTTATGAGTGAATAATGCCTTTCTCACGAGTTAAATACTATACTTTTTCTACTTGTATTCAATAATTACAGTAATAATAACATTATGCATAATGGTTTTATTATGCCATCAAACAATTGACAAAATTAGAAATGTACGAAACATCCGGAGGAGTTAGAATTATATCGTCGTCACTGCTCATCATGATTACACTACTGTCCATTTTCACGTAATTTTTACAAAACTGATTTCTCGTAATTTGTTTGATTGACATTAATGTTTGACAACTGAATTTATCGCGATCCGAGATCTTGATTTTTGCTACACACATGTTTCCAAGGCAACGCTACAATGGGACCTGAAGAGTAATGACAAACTCGGAATACGATTGGCTGACAACAGTTGAATAATGAAAACATATTGAATAATAGATAACTTTCTCAATTAAAAACGCATCAGTATTCTACCTATTATTTAATATGAGTAGAAAAATGTTATTTGTTTTCACTTTCTCCGCCGTCCAAGGCATTAACTACTACAGTTTTTAAGATATTTGGTTCGTTTTTCTTGCATTCGGTAGTTAATAGCTATGGCACGTCAACCAAACCAAAATTTTTAAAATTTCATGGGGAAGTACCTAGGTAACAAAATTTTGTTTCTTGAATTTAAAAACCCCATTTCGAGCCATCTTGAAATTTTCTCTACTTTCTACTTTGGAACTGGAAAAACGGGAAAATAGAATTGTGATAGAAATTTAAAATTTCATGGGGAAGGTAACAAAATTTTAATTCATGACTACTCTCGATGTTGGACTGGACATCAATTCGGCGGATCGCCATCGTCTCTTTGGTGAAGACAAGTTGCTAAGATCGCATACATTCGGCAACCATAAAATGCTGGAAATGAAAAACTAACGGCAACGATAGAAATCAAATAGGTTCACACTGTAGAATATACTACGAGGGCCGTTTTTTTTTCAACGTTCGGTGGGCTATAAATAAAAGACAAGTAAAGAGAAAAAAATTGTTTTATTACCAAAATGTACGTAAACTTATGCTTATTGCTCAACATAATCACCATGAAGATTGAGGCATTGGTATACCTGTGGACAAGCTTTCCAATACCCTCTTCATAAAATGTTACCGCCAGTGAATTGAAATGAGTCTTTTTGTAGCCTAAATGTTCGGTAACAATAGAGTGCAGAGAAGATCTTGACACTTCTGGAAATTCCACAGACAAAAGACTTATTGCGTGAATCTACGGTTTTCTTTAATCACCTTGTCAACTCGTTCAATAAGGTCGTCTGTAACGACAGACTTGCGTCCTTGACCTCCTTCATCATGCACGTCAGTTCGGTCATCTTTAAACTTAGGGCATCATAATTCCCGTACAACACCATCACTCATAATGTTTTCTGCGTAAACGCGGCATATTCTCCGATGGATTTCTGCTGCACTATTTCCTTCTGCTTGCAAGAAACGAATAACACTTCTCAACTTGGCGGGAGAATCAATAGACGCGGCAATGTTTATGCGACTGCAGCTCAGCACAAGCTGGCTACTTGAACTCGGCAGTGACATATGTTGTGGTGGGGAAGATGCGAGATCGACTACTGCGCACACCGCGGGCCTGCGGGCTGCGACTTGTCTAGCCGTGACCGCATGAGATCGGAGGTTGAAAAAAAAACGGCCCTCGTATATAAGTATATACCAAACTGTACCAAATGCCTAATTAAAGAAACGCACTCATCATATGGTGATTGTGTGTGATAATTTGTCGATATATGCCACAGTACAGATCACATGACATTTTAAACGAGATTCAAGCTTTGTTGTAGGTATATACCAATAATGTATGTACAGGTACCATTGAGTGAGAAAGTGAAAGTGGTACCAGTTCTTATTCAATTGCGCTACCATTTAATAACATTTTAATCTGTAGATTTACCTTCCTAAGCTTATAGAGGACTTCTACGTACTTAACTATACGCTGATATTGATAGGAATAGTGTACCTCTACCTACCTACTGTAAATAGCGCACCAGGGAGTGTCGGTATAATTTTTTTATCCTTGATTAAATTGTTATTCTTTGCTTTCCAACTCCAATACTGTCAAAAACGTAACCAATTGGGTTTTTTGCCAATTAAGTATTTCTTAATCGTCACAACCGCGATCGTAGGATACGATAGGTACCTATTTGGGTAAATATTACCTATCAACAACGTAAGTATACATTCAGACACATTCATTTTATAAGGTCAAGTGTATAAATCGATTATAAATAACACCGTTAAGTCATAATTATTGGATGACGGTTGATGGAGCCTGTTGAAACTTAAACTTGTCTTCGTGCTTATTTTATTTTCGTTGCTTTATTAATTTTCTGCGTTGTATCAATTATATATTAGCCACTGCTTACCTATAGGTACTTCAGTTCTAATTTTGATTTTCGGATTAAATAGTGTAACTTATAAAAAGTGAGTGGGAATTTCCCGTCTCTTAACATAATTATTTCGTAGCCTACATACCACACTTCATCTGATCCCCATAATGAAAACAGCATTGGTAAGTAGGTACCTATTGTTCGTTACAATCTTATTATTCCGCATCCTAAACTCTTTTTCTAGCTAGTAGTAATCACGATATTAGGCGTGGTTGGAGCGAATGGAGAGTACTTTCATCATCCGAATGGAGCTATAAGTTTTTATAAGCAAGATGTAAATCTCCCATTCGTTTATACTTATTATATAACTCCCAAGCAACATTCCAACAATCTTGGCTATTTTCAAAGTCCACTAAGAACAGGAAATCAATTTGTTCAGGTATTAAACCAAAAATTGATGACGAATGGAGATTCAACAAGATTTTCGAAATTTGCTAATGGCAAACCGTTGCTGAATGTAGCCTCCAAGAACGATTTTGTCGTTTCGAACAAACAAATTGAAGCGTATAATGATTACATTAGAGACCAAGAGCAAGAAGAAAATGTACGTAAATAGTAAGCAACATTAGAATTAAATACTGTTTGGATTATGATATGATCTATATCTTTGTATTGCAGTTAATTGCATTTAATAAAGAGTTGTACCTACAGCTGGTAAAGGATTCACATCACTGCGTCATAATTAGTTACTGGAAACTAATTCGACACAATCCCTTCTCTTTAGGGCAGAAAAAATGAGTAGGTAGGTACTACAATATACTTAAAAGTAAGGTGGTCAGAATTCGTCTTGGGAACCTTACTTTCAAATACCAATTTCACCTCGGCTATCGCTGTCATACGAGAAACCAAATAGCATGGATTAGATAATTTTACGCAATATCACAGACGTAGAATTTACTAAAAGGTTTTTATAAATACAGAGTGGACATTTTGTCTGGAACACTGAATATCTATATCTTCCAAAATAACATTTTTTGTAAAGAAACTGTTTATGATACTGATCTGGTTTCCAAAATTATAAGAAGTTCGGTCCCAGTCTACGTACTTTAAATTTGTGGTCAGTGGTGGTGGTGCATATTTTGTTAATGGCATCTACTACTTTCATTATTACATAGGTACAGGCATAGGTATTCAAAAGTACACTTTTTTGGATATAGCCCCCTTGACTAGGCAGAAGTACGACGCCACTGACCACCAATTTAACGTACTTAAAACAGTTTCTTTAAACACATGTTGTTTTGAAGATATAGTGGTATAGATATATTCAGTGGTCCAGACAAAATCTCAACCATGTGCCTGTATATAAATATTGCAAGTGACAAGTACCATAGAGTAAATTGTACTATGCGATCAAAAATTAGTTGCTGTCGAGTCACTTTTGGAACTTTTGTTTACATGGGAAATCGTATTTAACTTGAACTTCCAAAGGCGACTCGAAGGCAACTCATTTTTGATCGCCCGTTATTTCCTCTATGCAAGTACCTATGTGTAGCAGGAATACAGTTGCGAATGGAATAATAAATAAAATATTACTACTGATTTCGTTCGCTGTGGGCAATGGCATGAATTCATTACGCCATTTAAATAATACTTATGTAGCTAGTTCCATTTTACACAAATTAAACCTTGCACCAAACCCTCCTCTTCCTATAAACGTTATTGTTAATAATTAAAGAAACATTCAATCTCAGGGATCAGCTGAGTTCCGAAACGCTGGAAAATCTCAACACTGACTTATCCAAATGTTCAAGTTCCTGAAATCCGTAATTCAAAGCAAACAACACTATTAGATTTTGACTTAGGTATATTAGATATGGCTAACGATTAACCCCACACGAGAGAAATTTTCATTGAACACTAAAAACAAACAGTATCTGGATTTGAAAAATTTAGACGCAACGACGAAATGAACGAAATCACCCGAGACTTTGAATATTCAAAGCCCGAGACCGCCCCGCCCATCGGCAGACAAAGCTTTTTCAGTGCTGACTATCGCGTTTTTCATCTTCGGTAAAGGCCGACAAGATGCGAGTACAAGCACAGCACAAGAGATACCTAATGTGGAGTAATCCCCAAAATTTACAGGGAAAGGTACCTATTTGTACCTACATATTTCACCAAAGAACTGAGATTCATGGAGGTAATGCATTGTTTGAGATTTTACAATGCAACTCGGGGGAATGCATTTGTAAACGCTAAACGGCCTAAATAGCTAGTTTTGGTATTCGGAGAGAAATTTCTTAGTAAAGTAGAACCTCTTACGCATCGCTCCTTGTTGCGCGAACGTTGCTGACTATCCTTCCCTCTCCGTCTCACTCGCGACTCCCGACTCGGCGTGGTGGGTAGGTTTTTACTTAAATGACTAACTTTTTTATTATGAAAAATTCACGGTAATGTTATAGAAAATAAAATAATCACAATGCTTTGGAGCATCGAATGAGCTATGAATATTGGAAATCGATATCGTGAAATAAAAAGTGATGAGAGTTCAAAGTGCGCACTTTTCATCTGCTACACGAATTTTGGAAGTTGACGGTCATTTTTCTAAAAACTGTGCATAACAAGGTACGTAAATATGAATGCTTTAGATTTTGCTATAAATGTACTTTCATTTTACAAAACGAATTATTGATGGTATATCCCTTAGTTGCTGAGAAAATAAATACTTTCGGTGGTCTAGTCGCGCGCGCGAAAATGAGTAACGTTCAACTTTAGCGGCCTATAACTTTTGTCAGGACCACGGGAAAATGTCGTAAAAAGCGAGATTCTGAAGGTTCAAACATTTCTGAACAAAATGGTGTGGGTCCCAATTCTTTCTACTCCGAAAAAAACTACCTCAAATAAGCGGGTTAGCGCCGGCTCTCCGCTGCACTATTAGGTCTTAGATCATGTAAACATGGATAGAGCTATCTCATAAGCTCTACTAAAAGACAACCGTCGCCAACATTCCAACGTGCATTTTTATGCCTATCATCTTTTACTATTAGTAAGTTGTAATGTACCTATTTATCCTTTGCCGGGTTGAATGTAAAAGGGCGCAAGCTTGGCGATTGTAAGGACGTTTGTCCGTTTGACATCGTATATTCGCAAACAGCTGTTTTTGTTGTTTAACCTTGCTTGACTTTACATGGTTATACAGGGTGTCCCTAAAAGGTCTGTACAACGCGCTACCAGGGGTTCTTGGTATCAAAATAGGACGATTTAACCCAACTTACCTCTATCCAAAAATGCTTCGGTAAGGCGCTATCTACCGCCAAAGATTAAAAAAAAATCGTTATTTTTATTTTATCGGAAAATGGTTTTGCTGATTAAAATGAAATTCGGGATGTGAATGTCTAATGTAAAAAGGGTCTTTGTGATATCATCGTATTGATTGTAGTTGCTATGTAGGTGGTAAAATACTGACCATCCACATCTGAAGAGGTCTAAAACTTTTTAACTACTATTTTGACGGTTCTGAATTTTTAGACACTGATAGACAGTTTACTTGCAAGCATTTTTTGTCTCTTGATCTTTGTAGTATCGCGATCGCTCCAGTGTGTACTAGATAAGTTGCTTCCATTACGTTTGCACGATTATGAGTGATCGGTGTCGAATCAGGATCGGGTTGCTTATCGAATCGCCTGTTGCATCGCTTATCGTATCGCTCCAGTGGGAAGCGCGCCTCCGATAAATATCGGAGTCGCGTCGGGGCGAGAGACATAGCTGCCGGGTCGCTTTGAGCGCATATCGTTCGACACGTCCGATTAATCATGCCGGGTCAGCAAGAAGACGTGCAATCCTCTATTTCCTTCGTGAAATTGGTGGAGCAGAAAGCGTGTTTATGGAACTATGCATTGAAAAGTTATAGCAGGACTGATTTGACAGGTCTTACGTGGAAACAAATAGCTGAAAAGCTTAAAGCACCTTACGCGAATATGCTTCCCATCGATGGGGCCAATACAATTGGGCAGATTCCATAGTTCGCAGTAGCGCTCTGAGGAACTCATGACGACTGATCAAAACAACTGCTCTTTTGCTTATCCTAGAGGCTATATTATCGCTCCAGTGTGCACTGGAGTGTTGCGAGGATAAAAGTTGCATCGGGCGATAAAAGATTGCTCATGTTGCATCGCTTATCGCATCGCTCCAGTGGGAACCGCGCCTATAAGGTTTAGGTACGTTAAATTTCTGGTCAGTGGCGTACTTCTGCCTAGTCAAGGGGGCTATATCCAAAAAAGGGTACTCTTGAATAATACCTATGCCGGGCACTTTATACTCCACTATAACAGATTCTAAAAATGGAACACGTATGCAACATGTTCTACGGTGGTGTAAAATGTGTTTCATATAGCAAGCCTGGGCACCATATTAGGTAGGTACCTACTTACTCGTAGGTACCTTCACCATTGAATAAGTAACCTATGATTACTTATTCAATGATTACACTGAGAAAACATTAAAATAAGTAGAACGGTGGTTTTTGCGGTTTTTTCTTTATATAAAGTAGGCAACGGAGTTAAATAGGTACAGATAATAAATGTATACTATCTATTAGGATACAGTTCAATTTTAGACATAATAAATTCTGCATAAGTAATTACATTTACATAATAGAATTTTGTTATTTTTGTGGAAGTACGTCTAGGCAATAATATCAGCCCTACAGTTTCACATTTAACAAATAAGATAGGTACATCTCCGATCCGTATATGAGTCACTTCATTATCACTTTTATATAAAATTATAAACCACTACCATTAGGTATATGATCGGTGGCTGATTAAATAGAAATGAATGAGGAAACAATACCAGCACACCACGCCCTACTTACGATTAACGAGTTCACTACCGACGTAACGTTTACCAAGAACAACTTTTACATATTTAACCTTCCTACCATGCATAATTAATCTAATTCGGGAGAATACAAGTGAGATCAAATCGAGGCCTTACACAAACCAGAAATCGTAAGAATGAAAATATCCGGTCTAACTTGAGAAGACCTTAAAAATTATTTATTAATAATTTACACACAGGAAAAAGTTAAACATAAATATCACGATTTATTAAAGGAGTAACTGAAACCATCGGGAGATCTGTTTAGTGACAATTTACCCGGAGGGTAAAACCTGTGCGGTTGCGGTGTCGTCTCGTAATATTGTTGCGGAGCGGGGGTAGGTTGATAATGCTGATGTTGTTGAGGATTATATTGGGGTTGGGGATTATATTGGGGTTCTTGGTTGTATTGTGGTTGTTGGTGCTGTTGTGGTTGCTGGTAATATTGCGGTTGGGAGTTGTATTGGGGCCGGTGTTGGGGTTGTGCGTGGTAATCGTTTTGGGGAGGATTATATTGCGGAAGGGGTTGGTATTGGGGCTTGGGTGCGACGGGAAGTTCGGTTGCTGGTGCTTGAGGGATGTGATCTCCTGTAGCTTGGAAGCCATGTTTTCCTGCGGTATACATTACAGTTTTCTTTTGCCCACTTGGATCGATGTACGAGTATGAACCGCGTCTACTGCCATCAGGAAGACTTTCTTCTTTAAATTGTACTCCATCTTCTTGAGTGTATTGCGCACCAAATGAACCATCGCCACTTAAATAACGCTGCTCACTGAGAATTGCGGCATTACGTGGATCATTGTGATTGTAATGGTCTTGACCATACGCGACACTAAGGACAACCAGAAGTGAAACCTGAAAAATTGCACAAAATCGGTTGGGTCGAGTTTTCGAAAGTAAAACGTGAAATGCGACTAATCAAACAAATAAGGCTACTTACAATCTTATACATGGCTAGCAGATTTAAAGTCTACCAAGGTGGAAAACTATAAACTAACTGACCCTACCATATAGCGCTCTTAAGATTTTATAGCGTTGTACCAACCTTGATTGATCCGACCCTGCTTAACACTCCCTTATGAAACTGCTGGCGCATAGGTAATACATCGTTTGCGAATTTTGAGACATTTAAAAGATTCCACGATACTTCCCGAGAAAAGTTTATTTGATTCAATTATCAAGAAACGATTTTGTTTTATACGATACTGCAACTATAGGTATCTATAGGTAGGCAATGTCCTTAAAGAATTGTTAGGAACTTATGCAAGAAGTTATTCATCCGTTTCATAAATAGTAACAAATCGTTCCGCACACGATCGAGCAAATTAAATACCATAGGTTCACATTTTCTTAAATTATTTCATTTTATTTTAATAATTATGTGAAAAAGATATAGGTACTTGTATATTTTATCGTTAGGTTGATTTTTAAAATGAAATTTGTTCGTGACGACTAAATTTGATTATTTGTTGAATCTAGAACACCGATTAATCGTTAAATACCAAAGTGGGGCAAAGTTACGGAGGTGGTGCAATAGAGGAATTTGCAATAAAGTCGCCCTTAAAACCATGACTTGGGAGACGATACGGTAATTGACGCGTAGGTCCAAGGATATTAATTGAATCACTACACATATAACGACAATTGAGGGGATTGAAGGCGAAAGTGATCTACAACCACGCTTGTTCTACTTTGAAGATCATGGTCGCAATTCATTACCTTATATTCAAGGTTAACCGTTTTCAAGTGCGCTAGTTCTTTACAGTGATTTTTGCGAAAAACAATTGTTTTACTTTAATCTGAATTATATATGTTTTGTAATGATTGAATTAGATTAGATAACTTTCTTGGGTATATTGTAATCCGCATATTACAAAAGTTAATTCAGTCATGCGGTTCAATGAAGTTATAGAACGTACCTCACCTAGGTATACATAGACAAACTATATAGTTAATGTCTAGTTTTACATAGATAATAACAAAATAATAATCACTGCCGCAACTGAAATCGAGGTTAAAATCAAAATAGAAAACAAATCCAATTTTTCTAAGAAAGTAAAGAATGTTAAATAATTGCATAACGAGCGTAACGAAAATTACATTGCAAACTGTTTATGTATTCCTTCATTACCATTGTAGGTGTTGTGTGAAGGAAAATAGACAGTAAAGTCGACCTGCACGGTATAAATAGGCGGAAGTAACCCCATTTCATCATGAAGATGAATTTGCAAAATTTTACAAAATCTCATTGAAATTCGAAAATACAGATGGGTACCTATATATATATAGGTAACCTCTACATACTCATACATTACTTCAATTAGGGTTTGTGCGGAATAAAGCTTATGAGTTATGAGGCCCTTCCTGGTAAGTACACTACCTATAGCCATTGAATAAAAACACTATTTTTTATTCAATGATAGTGTTTTTATTCAATGCTATAGCTATACTATTCGCGCACCTTCCTTTAATGTTACGTATTCATACAACACATTTAGAATAGTTCAGTAACCTTGTCGCCTGTAAAGGAAAGTATCTTGCTCAGATCCGGTAAAAGCGATTTTTTATTACCTAAGTTGTTTAGGATTTCACCCTAAAGAATAATCTAACTTTTCCACCTCAAGTGTTGAATGCAACATTCAAACATTTAAAAAAATCCAAATTGTTTACTTGTCTTCTGATCTTCTCTTTTTAGCGCATTTCCATAACAACAAAAATGCGCTATTGTGGCCACTTTGTCCGTTCGTCTGTCCGTCCGTTTGTCCGTCCGATCGTCCGTTCATCCGTCCGGGCATTCGTTGGGACGCTACTAGTTCTTTATCTTAAGAGCTATTGTTCTACTTTTTTCGCTATTTGGTTCGTTATGGTGTCGAAGCTTGCACCAAGGAAGGAATTTTTTCTGCGTTTATTGCTAAAAAAGTTATTGTAAAAAAACCAAAAAACCGTTTTTTACATGTTCCATAATTTTACACTTTTGCCGTTTATTAACGATCCTAGAGATCGTTTATAATTTTGTATTGCTGTCTGTCGTCTGTCCATCTATCTGTCCGTGTCAACGATAACTTTGTTTAGAAATGTCCAGTCGCTTTGACATCTCCGTTAGTTGTGAACTGAATTGCATGAAATTCAATATGGGCATATAGCTTCAGCCATATAATAGGCAATGCCAAAAGTTGAGTCAAATCGATTCAAAATTCACAATGGCCTTTTCGCATCACGACCGTTTATTTTTTTTTTTTTTAGATTTATTTATTGCAAACTTTTTTATTTATAAGAGTATTTAAATGAAATTTAATATATAGGCACTTGGGATAAATGAAAATCTAACGCCAGTTTCAAAATTTGGTTTTGCGCATGCGCAGTGCCAACTTTTTGATCTATGGAAGCATTTAATTGAAATTTGATACATAGCCGCTTGGAACACAGGAAAATCTAACGTTAGTTTCAAAATTTAGGTTTGCGCATGCGCAGTGTCAACTTTCTTATTTATGAAAGCATTGAAATGAATTTCACATCAAAAATGGATTGCACCTATGCAACGCTATCTTTAATATTTGTGGCCGGATTTTTACGATTTTAACAGAAGTTGCATCTTACAAATGGAAATACGCTTTTTGGAAATCGTTTACGATTACTTTTTTAACTTGTTAACTCTAAATGTCTACTTTTATGGCTTTGTATCGCATCCGGGGGGAATCTTTTCCGATTCTTCTTCTTGAAATCTCTTTTTAAAATCTTAAAATGTCTATAGAATACATAATTAGAACATTTAGTACCTACTTTCAAAATATTCAGACATCAAATAATTCTCTTATAGGATATTCCCATAATTTTCGTAGAGTAATCGTAAAATTTTTACGGATCTTTCCATACGCCTTGAAACGTTTAGAATCTTCATAACCATTAGAATTATGATAGAACTAGTATTACAATCTTCTAGGAGTTGTCTTGGTATTGTTTGGAATCTTAGAATCCTCTGTAATCTGTTTCGCTCGTAATTCAAATTCAGTATTCTCGCTCTTATTTATATCCTTACGCCATCTAGGTGTTTCATTTGTAATCCACTAGTTTTAGAAGTAAGTTAATTCCTGTAGTAAATTTGTTATTATCTTATAGTGTAGATCTCTTACTATTTTAGTTCTTTGTTTCGTCGACCGAGGTCGTGCAGATATTTTCCGTGGTATTTTGGCTATGCCTTGTTTAAGTTTATCTTGCTCGCCAGTTTTATTTCTTTCCCCGGAGTGAAGTTTCTGCTTTCGCCTTGTCCACTTGCAAATGCTCTCTTTCGGTACGCCATTACTTTTCTGACTTCATGACCACCGTAAGGGATTTAATGTTTTGGTTTTATCATAATTATCTCTGGAGTGCTTTCTCTTTCTCTATTTGATGCCTCAGCCTGTGGTGGCTCCAGTGAAGCGTTTTTATGGATTTGTATTTGCATTTAAACAATACGAGATATGATAGATTATTATGCAGCATTTTTCTCATTCCATATATTTTTTAGGGCCTTACTTAACCTCTCCTCAACCTCTTCTCGTAGATTTTTCTTAAGACGATCTTAAACGATGTCGTATACAACAATGTATATTTAAAATGGGCCATAGGGAAATTTACATTGCACTAATTGTTCTCAAATCTTGGCCTTGCGCTTAGTTATTTTACTGACAGTTCTCAATCTGATCCTTCAAACTGCATCAACGAAGCAGCAACATGTATTCCGCCGCTCGAAAAGGTGTTCGTGTAGTACAATTTGTACAAGTGTGGGCACAGTAGCTAAGTGGTATGCGAGCTATTCAGTGCTGAGTATCGGGTATTGTTTGGTTGCCGGTGGAAAACAATTGCTTGTTGGTCGATGTTCTTGCCACCAAGATGTTATACTGAGAGGTGAGGTGTTAGAGACTGCCTGATGGGAACTTCTGACTCGCGTTGTAACTGGTTACCTAGAAGTTACCGTAACGGTAAAAATACGTTGTAATGTAATCAGCGTAAAGAATAAAACGCCATATCAGTACAAGATTTTCAGCAATGTTTTTAAAGTTACGTATAGGCCCGTATATTTGCGTATTTAGCAAATTGTCATTTCTATATACGCTAAACGTATTATGGTCATTTTCTCCGTCCGTCCGAGGCCTTAACTACTCCTACAGTTTTCAAGATATTTAGTTCGTAACTACAGATACTTCTAGCAAAGAGTAACCATAATGGGTACTCTTTGCTTCTACTAAAGACAAGCAAATCGCATATTGGAAAAATCAGATGTGCGCATCCGCAAACTTTAAAGATTGGGTAAGTAATGCATAATAGGTACTCCGGCAGTTAAGCCTCGTCCAAACAATTCATTTTCCTTTTGAGAGTAGCTTCTTCCCATACTTCGTCTCCGAGATATGTGAATTTGAAGGATATGTCTTAATTAAGTCAAAGCTTTCGCTAATTAGGTTTGGTGTTTTTTGGTACACAGCTTTCCGACCATTTTCCATTCAAATTGGCGCATAAATAACTACGCCGACATCTCTTTTTTGGCGATTAAGCAATCCTTTAGAATAAAAAAAATAGATATTTGAACTCTCCACCAAAAGACTTACCTTACGATACCCATATTGCTATAGTCTGTCAGTGAAACAATTGTGATCTTATACCTTTTGATGCTGTCTAAACCATGCGAGCGCGCTCAAAATATGAGATGCACATCCTCAATAGATACAGTGTGTAAAGCGATGGGGTATACAAGAGGGAATTTTTTTAAAATATTGATTTATGAAAAAAATTTATTCTTCATGATATTTTTTGCTTGCTTTGAAAGTACCAATAACGTTTCGATAATCTAAAATTTATTTATAGAAATCTGGAAAAATAATAAAATTAATATTGAAAGTTATCATTCTACATTATAATTAAGATAGCGTATTGCTATCAAACCACAAACAATCGAAACATAATTGGTACTTTCAAAGCAAGCAAAAAATATCATGAAGAATAAATTTTTTTCATAAATCAATATTTAAAAAAAATTCCCTCTT